GAAACCTACGCACATGAAATGACATTGTATTCATGTGCATTATTTGATGTCATTTAATGAACTGCGATAGTACTCGTCTTCATGATAAACAGGCCGTTGTTATTGTTGCTGGAATAGGAGACCTCGTGTTTACCTCTTGGGTGTAATTAAAAAACAACAGTTAACCGAAAATCTTGATTTCCATCATGACGTCTTTCTTGTTTAAAAATAGCGTTATTGTTGTTTTCGCATGGAAATTAAGAAAAGTGTTTTTTACGATTTTTTCTACCCAAAAGCACGTGCCAGTGACCTAACAAACCGCCGTATCATGGCGTGCCACGGTGTGCAGGAAACAATACTGACGTACATGTATGCATGATGCTGTGACCATTGTCTGCAAATCAGTTCGAGCTTACGTAGCATGCAACCTGTCCCTGATGGTGAATTTTGACCGGTTGGATCAAAGCGGGACAGCCAAGCACATGTACCTGTGTCCCGTTCGTCACCCTAAGTTATAGGACTCTATAAGAGATGACTGAAAACTAATCTTCTTCACTATTAGTTGAATTGGTCAGGTTGGTAGGTTGGTTAGGCGAGTTTCCAGTACTCTCTGAATCTCAGGGTGATAGCAGTGAAAGTCCATACGGCTGTGGTAACAAGGGTCTGGGGTTAACCTTTTTTTCTTTTTGTTGTGTTGGACAATGCATATATGATATGATCAGAAAGAGGGCACGGGTTGTTGTAATTTTATTATTGTGTGGATATATTAATTTCATCTCTCAATTACCTCTCTCTCTCTCTCTCTCTCTCTCTCTCTCTCTCTCTCTCTCTCTCTCTCTACGCTAGGGTTTTTTGTTTGTTTGTTTGTTTGGAGGGGGAATTCAAAACATTTAAAAGAGTTCGGATTTAAGAAATAGTTTTTTGTGTTGGCGACCGTTTTCAGATATAAGACAAGAAATAGGGATATTCTCATGTGGAATTTTCCTCGCTGATCACAAGTGCCAGGATAGTTATCAACGTTAACCTTGACCACGGTCAAGAGTCAAGCCACCGGTCAATGAGGAGGCGTTCAGTGCGCTTCTTTGCCCATTCACGTTCCACTCACACAGAAAACAAAGGTCAGTTCGCTGCACACGCGCTCCTCGCCCGGTTCAGAAGAGCACCTCGTAATCTTGCCATAAATTCCTTCTCCACTGTCTTAAGCACATGATAATGGAGCACAGATAGGGTAGGCCCAGCCCCCACCAGGCACCGTGCACCACAAAGAGGACTTCTGTCCAGAATGAGTGCTGCATTGCTGATAACTGGCTAGCCTGCCTGGACAAGTATGCTTCAGATCGGGTTCGAGATGTTTCCTAATGGTGCGAATCGGAATCGATCTTAATGACGAAAACACTGCGCCAATGAATTGTTATGCGTTTGCTTGCTTATTTTATTTGCTTACTCACCTAAGCACAAGCACGCGCACACGCACACACACACACAAACAGTTATGCACTAAGACTTCTGCACCTAATCACTCATGATCATTCACACGCAGACAAATACACACGCCCACTTGATATATCTATTTCTGTTTATTCATTCATTCACTCATTCATTCATTCATTTATACTTAATCTATTATTAATTAATTCGACTTATTTAATCATAGATTATGTAGGCCTACAATCTCTCTGCGAGGACTCACATACACTTTTGCAACTAATAATATAAAAGAGAAGTCAATGACATTAGACCGATGCAGTATCGAACTAGCCAAGTGTTTGAACGCGACCACGGTTCTGAGGAATTGGAACAGCACCTTGACCCCCTTGACTTTTCTCAGCCGCTCCCTCGATCATTTTATCAAGGAACTTTGATGACCGCTTTATACAAGCAGGGTCTTTGGTCCAAGGTCCTGCACGTAATCCAGCAATAGTCGGCCACCCTGCCCCTCCCCCCCCCCCTCCGAACCCCGATTTTTTTACGATATTTTTCCATCAATTCCCTTTGTTTTTATATATCATTGCATTTTTTTGTTCTTCTATTACTAATACTATGACGACAGAGGGCCTAAATGTACGCGTTCTCAGAAGTGCTTTGTTGGTAACTGTCCACGTACAGGGCAAATGTTCTGCACGTTCGTGCTCAAGGTAACCTCGTGCGCGCTGCTTTTTTTCGGCTCCCAGCCGCTCCCTTAAGGCGTCCCTGGGCGGTGTTCCCATTGAGATGTCATAAACAAGTATATAGGTTATCGTCAGAAGATGTCTGAATAGCTCGATAAATGTCACAAGACAAAAACAAGATGTTCGGTCAACACTGACTATTTGTCGTGCTGTTCGGAGACAGCGACAACTTTGGTGTTCTTATTTCTCGAGTTTGAATACTAATAAAACTTTTAAAGAAACTTCTTTAAGAAACTTTTTTCGATACTGTTTTGTTTGATCCCTTTTGTTTTGCTGCTGGGAGTGTACATTTTTTACGATCCCTCTCGCCTTCCCCCCCCCCCCTCCAGTCTCGATGCTCGCAGTGACTTAGCCAATAGACGTCAGTATCTGTCTTAATCGGTAATGTATTCATTGTGGTTTTAAGAGACGAACTAAAGACCTTGGTGATTTGAGCAACAAGTTGATCGGTTTAAACGATTTAATATTTAACTAAATTGCACTATAATCATTATGACAATCTGAACGGTGCTTCAAACCCCCAGTTTGACTCTGTGATAAAACTATTAAAACAAACACTTGATCATTACAAGAAACCAATCTATCATTCAGCTATGAATTAGCATACGTCTGACAATAACATGTTGATATGGAAGGATTTAGCTCGAGGACTTTGTAGAGATGTTTTCTTGAATGGGCTCGTGTGTATGAATGAATCCCGGGTACGTAAACAGTGCTAAGAGGCTGATCATAAGGATAAACCCCAAATATATATAAACTGACACCTAGGATGAGATGAAACATAGAAAACAAATGCTGTAAGGTACCGCGATTTGAAGTGTACGCGATTTGTCTTTAGAAAGCACAATTATCAGAAATAATTGAAGAGTGACAAACCGGGGGTTGAGCGTACAGTTGATAAAATTTTGGTGGAAATTGAACGGTAATCTATTGAAAGAGAAACAGCATCGGACATATGATATTGATTCTTTTTAATAATAAAAGGAATAATAATAATTATGTTCATAATGATAATAATTCATGTAATAATGATAATTATTACAATGGAGACCATGGAAGGCTAAGGTGTCTACAAAAAATTCTATTAAATAACTTAAACCTCCTCTCATAAAATTCGTCACCACTTCATCTACCTTTTGGGTTCTTAAAGTAAAATAATCTTAAGGTCTCAAAAGAGATAACATTTTATATCGTCTTGTATTTTTGTCGCAGTGCCTTGGCGAAAGTTGCAAGGATGCCGCAACGGTCTCTACCACCCAGTTTCACTGCAGCGCCTTTTTTCTTCTTTGCGCTTGACTATGCCGAGATACGACTGGACCAATGAGTGCAAGCAACTTGAAACATCTTTAACGTTTTATCAGTTAACAGTAGTGCCAAGAATTCGCGATATCTTTCTGTGTCAACAGTGTCGCATTGACAAGGTTAATAAATAACCAATTGTCATAAGTACCAGGGGTACTGATAAAGTAAGGCGGCGGAACAAAAGTCAATGACAACTTAATATTGATTCTGTGACGTCACAGTTAGGAGCACGTGGGTTTAAATGCCGGTTTTGTTTACAGCGATAGGGACGCCGGTACCGGTGTGCATGGACTGCTCATGTATACCCAGTGTTCTGCACTGTCTCTGGTTGTTATTTACACGGACATATTCTTTTACTTTAAGAACCCATAACTACACAGTTTTTCGTCTTTTAACCTGGGGTGAGGTATTTCTTGACCATTTAAGAAAAATTAAAAAAATTATTGGACCTTTACATTTTGCCTGCTTTTGACCCTTAACGACAGTAAATCTGTAGTTATAAGGTTACATTTTGAGTCAGTCCCTTTTATAACGTTATTTTTCCCCGTAGCATATATCATAAGTAAATATTTTCGGGGCTTCATTTTGTTCTCTTACATACAGTTCCTTTTTTTATTTTTTCCACACCAATCGTGAATCTGGTCGCGTCTCATACAAATTGTCTTTACGTTAATAGAAGTTAGACAAGTTTTCACAATCAGCGATCTCTCCCCATACCATACCCCTATCAACAAAATCCAGGAATATTTACAGCGCTCTGGTTACATAGTTTTCGTGCAGCTAATTATCGAGGCATTCACTGGCGGGCATCGAAGGCTGCGTTAATCCTAAAATGTATACAAATATGGTCCGCTGGCGTTAAAAATTAGCAATTTACATGAAACCCTTTTACGCTAAGCGTGCGTTAATATAAGCTATAGCCACGTCCTAGATGCAAGCAAAAATGAGGGTAAAAACGCAAAGTAAGTATTCCTTTACTCTAATGATTGATTTCTGGTAATGCTCTATATAAAGAATTCACCATCAAAGTCACTATATATTTTTCACGCGTGCATTCTCTACGTATTTTCACATTGGATACGTGACCATCAGTTTTATACGTTGTTATTTGGAAATCATGACTGAGGAAGCGGGATTTTATATAGATCGTAGCTTTTTGCAACAGTCGCTTGTCGTGACGCACGTTATCATTTGGAAGAACTACAGCTCTACTAGGCTTTACATTTTTAAACCTAAACAAAACGCAGCCATTCAGTCATATATAAGTTTAATGAGGACAATATATTGCACGGGGTAGAACAAGTCCACCAAAAATGTCTAAGCCATGGGGCAAACTTATAGTACATAATAGCACGAATTTTTAACCTGGCTCTTATGAAAAGAAGACATCTTATCCAGGGTCTCGCTCCACATATTCTTTTCTTTTTCACTAGGGGCTGTGTGTGTCACTTAGGGATACGGCAACCTCTCTAATAATAGTACATGTAAATGTATAGAGACTGTGTGCTTTTTTTTCCGTCAAGCACGTTTTATTGTGAGGTAAGGGTGTGAAATGCCGGCCGGCTAGACCTAAAATGGGGAGAGTTGTTTGTTGATGTATTGTGTCTGCCACAGGCAAGCATGCGTGAAGAGTCCCATACGCTGGGTATGATCCATGGGACGGGATGATTCAACATATACCGGTACTGTCTTTGGCGTTGTTGCGGCATATTTTTTGTCAGCCGTCGGCCGGTGTATGTGCATGCACGACAAACGCCACGGCGCCTGTCTCTGTAGTAAGCTTAACGCTCTTACTTTAAAATAGTGAGGAAAAACGGATTGTACTTTAACTGGATGGTTAAGTGTTACACGACAAAGTTCAGAACGGGAAAACATTTGTAGAGTTAAACTTCTGTCAGGTAAGGAGAATGAAGTGTATGATATGTAAAATACATAAACAATAGCGGTAGGTCAGTACTGTTGCACTGCACAGCTGTACGTAGAACGTGTGCATGCAAATGTATAGGCTGATGAACCAGTGATTTAATACTGTCTGCAATGTATATAATTGTATATTCCCACTGTTGAATGTTTCGTGAAAAAGCGGCATATGTCACAGATGCAACTAGTTTTTTGTCATAGCTGTCATCATCATCATCTTATCTCATGAACGGTATGTATGTCAAGTGCAAAACGCGTCTGTCCCTATTTTTTTCTTTTATGGCGAATTTCTATAGTCATATTTTTCATATGTAGAAAGAATGGCAGCCGTACAATATTTGCCAGCTATAGTATGCATGGTGTGACAAAGACATTAAACAAAGAGGGCAGAACTTGACAGACGGATAAACGTACTCTTGGTTAACAAAAAATTTGGCGATGTCATTGAGTTAAAAGGCCTCCAGACTCATGTAGTTATAGTAGTTGACGGTCTAGACTCATGGTTAAGTTATGATAGTAGGGAAAATATATCATGACTGCACGGTTAAAATTCGGTGAAATGTTTTCTCAGATAATTTTTTTCAACCAAGACTTTGTCAGGACACTCTAGTAGTGTTATGTACATGGACATATGGCATATGTACTTATATACTGTACATAAGCAGTCGTCAACAGTAATCAAACTACCACGAGGTGATAATGCACGTGTAAGAGACAACTAACTGACATCTTCACACCTTATATGGAAATATTGAACAACCCCCCCCCCCCCCACACACACACACCATGCATTCTCTTCTCTCTGCACCCTCTACCCCACCCCACTTCTCCAAACTTGATCATAAGACTGTGTGTCACACCTCGTAAATAGCACATCACTGAGACCAGAGACAATCCGCGCTATCTCGAAGGGCAAGGCTATGCTGATTATCGAAGCCTTAATTCCGAGAAGGATCGAGACGTGTCCCGAAATCAGCGCTGGGTGCAGACTCTCCCCCCCCCCCCCCCTCACTTGCGGGCCACAGCGTCAAGTAAAGGGAATGTTGTCAGATACCAGTATTCCTGTTTCTAGTCCACTAAGACACTGTTACTTATTACATTGTGAAGTGCATTAAGCCTATCCCCCCCCCCCCCCTGCATCTTGCAGTTTGGAACCAAATTACCCAATGTCATAACAGAAAACTGACGTAGTCTTCTTACTCCTGTTGTCACAGACCGAGGCCAGTTCACCGACCCACACAGGGTACCTGTTTACCGCGTTCAGCTAGCCCTCAGTTTTTCCACAGCGGGAGCACCACAAGAACGGCTCAAAGTAACAACAACCACTCGCACGACGCTCGATGGAATTGTGCCAGTGCGGTAAACAACCGGGTCCCAAGCACGGTGCCCTGTTGTGTTTTCCCTAACACTCTAGCGAAGAGCTTTGGGGCATGTGTAAATATTTACGGATTTCGGTTAAAACCATGTATTCATTGGCTAAACTCGGTGTAGCGTTTCGCTGCGACCTGGAACCCCCTGTATATGTTCTGTCACGTCGTAAACAATATGCAGTCATTGGCTATTGTAGCCTTCTGCCTTGTTTTTCTTGAAAAATGGCAATAGTATATGCCATGTCCCTCAGCGAAATACATATGGGACAACGTAACGATTTTAATACATTTTGACGTGAAAAGCGTGAGACATCCGCGTTGGGTAATGAGTTTAGGTTTTCTCGGGGACTCCTTTTTTTTTGGTTACTTTCCATGCCCGGGCTTCTAAGGACGCACTCAACGCACATTGGCTTTTTCTAAAGCAGTTGGTCCCTTTTCACAAATCTCAGAACGTGTGCTTGATGAATTCAGCATTCCCCGAAAAGACCAAAATCGAACTACTTCTTACAACAATAACTTCTTTCTGAAAAATAAAAACATATTTATTCCTATGGGAAACCAAAAATTAAATGACCAGAATAAAAAAATGACGAGACGACTGGTGAAATCATTTCTTTCCTATGACTTGAATGTTTATAACTATAGGCAAGTAGGGAGATAATCTTTGATGGAGGGGGGGGGGGGCTCAGCCTTTCAGAATAAAAACCGGCAAGGGGGGTCCCCTTTACATTTTGACCTACTGACATGCTTGAAAAGGGGGGAGGGAGATATGCTCGTGGCTCTTAAGCCTACTAACAATGAACGAGTTCAGCGATTGTTTTTTATGTAAGACTTCTGGCACAGTGACCTCGAATATACGCGCCGTGGCTGTTTTTATAATAGGTCATTAAGTGTCTCCTATGAAAAATGAGAAATATTACCCCAACTCACGAGGCAGCATATTTTCACTCTGATAGGGTGCATGATGACCGATGAAGAGAGTGGAGACGTATCGAGAACAAAATCAACCTGTAACAGGCTTACGTTAAACCGTACGTAAAACAAGCGTAATCTTTTACAGCGTTACGGCATAACAGCGCTAGCAATACAAATTTCTATCTGCCTCGGCGCTTTTTGCAATATATCGGGGGAGATAGAAAATTAAATCAGTCGATCAACTAGTGGCCTGGAGGGCCCTCACTGCTGAGATAACAAGGAATTGTGTAGTTGTAAAGTTTATCGTTCGGATTGTATGTTAATTAGGTAATACGACCTCAAGAAGCGATCCACTGTACGCTCACATGACTTGACTATGTCAAGCAGCCAACGTGTCTAGTCCAATCAAATCGGCCCATGGGGGGCATAGCTTGCCCCATCCACTTATATAGGGTTCATGACACCATATATATATATATGTGTGTATATATATATCGTAGTTATAACCATGCTCGTCTCAAAGGCCTCACTTAACGTGACGTGTTGAGAGAAGAACGCAATGGTTCTGTGATAGCTTCCGTGGATAATTGGTTCATTTGAAGTTTAAACGTTCATGGTTTGTCTATTTCAAGGTCTCTGCCATTACGAAGAAGAAAGCGCAGCACGCAACTAGACCAGCATTAGATGAGAGAGAGCCCAGAGAACAGGTTGCCCCAGTCGTGTGTGTGTGTGTGTGTCAGTACCCAGCAGGCTCCAACTTAACACTACCAGAAGTGTTCCAACTATCGAGACACAGACCCGGGATAGATGGAATGACAAAACTGCATGTGCAATATAAAGAAGGTCGGGCATAGTGCAACGCATTGTAGCAACATTTTAGCTAGCTGATTGACTCGTCGAAGTATTTCCTAGTTGCTTCTATTTTTATTCACTTGTGAAAGGAATAGGGAATTTTCCTTGGCAAGAAAATGGAAGATTTTCTGCCCCTTATAGACAGTATAGAGCGCGAGCAGTGGACTCTGCAAAGGCTGAACTCGGACACCTCCGGGGAAGAGACAGACTCTAGTTCAGATGACAGGCGATCGACGTACAGCCCTTCTAGTATATTCTCTGAAACCTTAGACGATGACTTATACCTAGAGTATCTATTTTCCCAAGGGCTGGCGGACTGCATTGAAAAGCCCAATTTAATCGCGAATGAAATCGTGCAGAATGCGCCACCCCAAGTGAACGCGTTCTGCGATTCGTATTGCCAGAATTATTTTCCAGACGACGGTTTCAGAGCCGATGATTGTGACAATATTCTGCCAGAGGACTTGGTGGTGTTGGGGGTCGGGCTGCAGAATTTAATGCAGGAGTATAACCTTCAGCAGCAACAGGCGGCTCTGAGCCAGGTCCCCAGGAATTCTATGAATGCGCAGTACACCGCCATGCACGCGCAGAAGACCATGCCGCAAATGACAGCTCACGTGATGGCAAGGCAGCAACAGCAGCAGCAGCAGCAGCAACAATCCAATCACCAGCAACTAACCACGTATTATAACAACATGTACCACGCCAACCACAACACCAATACAGCCCGGCCAATGAGTATGCCACCCCAGCAGCATCAGCAGCAGTCGCCAACGTATAATAACAATGCAAACTCTGTGTATGACTACAATTCCAATACAAATCCTACTAATTCCAGTCAGCTTCATGGGACTTTCCGTGTGCGCGTTGCTCGACAGACGACAGGACAGCAACAGCAGCAGCAGTCGCAGCAGACGACCAAAATTGGAAAGGAAAAACTGGATGAGAAAATTCACCACTGTACCTATCCCGGTTGTCCCAAGGTGTATAGCAAAAGTTCTCACCTGAAGGCCCACCTCCGTCGCCACACGGGAGAAAAACCGTTCTGCTGCACGTGGCCGGGCTGCGGCTGGAAATTTTCGCGCTCAGACGAGCTCGCTCGTCACAAACGCTCACACTCAGGTATCAAGCCATATCAGTGTAAGATTTGTGAAAAAAGGTTTTCTAGATCAGACCATTTATCCAAGCACTTAAAAGTGCATCGAAAGCAACAGCACCGTTAGATGTAGCCCCGTGCGACAAAGAATGCCATTATAGTTTATTTGAACGAACTAGTACATTTACTTTTTTCTGTTGTTCGTGTTTTGTTGGATTTTAAATAAGGTAAAACAGCTGAACTTTATAAAGACAGCGTTTTAAGAGACACTATAGCAGCTGAGCTGTCGGCTCCTTTATGCCAAAGAAAAGTCTTGCAGTATCATTGCCTTATATAGTATATTTGAAGGTGCATGCCATTATACCATCCTACAATTTGTCATTTTGTTACTGTCTGCTGATGTATATATATAGGACTGTAGTTCGCTAGATCATTCATGTGTGTATGTTAAATGCGTATGTCGCCCCAGTATGCCACGGAAGTGTCTTTGAGGCTAAGCGAGCATGCGAACAAATTACTGTACAAAAAAGCTTCCTACTTCAATGGAAAACTTGCACGCGGATCAATCTGCGTACAATTAGCGATTAGGTTTGAATTGATGACAAAGGTGCATAGAGGGTGATTCACATGGGGGTTGGCAAATAAGCCTTTGGTTCAACATTTTGTATTTTTTTTTTTTTTTGGTCTTTATAATTTAAGCTGGTAGGAAATACCCATGCCGCGTGGCCTTGAGCCTTACTAAAGCTGTTCCACAAAGTTGACGTTAAAAGTACAAGGCAATGGCAAAGTTTTATATTTAGTGAAAGTATGAACGATTCTGACACAGAACGGGTTCTGTTTTTAATAAGTCACGAGGTGGGAGATTGGTCGTTTTGCTGGCTGGTATAGCCTTATAAATCGTCTGCTACTTCTTTAACCTGTCGTCTGCCGAAATGAAAATTTTTCCATTTCTTCGCCTGCCGGCATAAAAACTGAGCAGCTCGTGCAACTCCGTGCATAGTACAGTAATGGTAGGACTGCCGCCTCGTCATTCGACCCTTGAACCAAAATTACGTTAAATAATATTGTTTGGGGATAAATTTAGCCGCGGCGTAGAGCCGCTAGCCTAAATTTGAGTCATTTTAGTGGCATTCTTTTGCAAGTAAGATGGACTGTTGCCCTGGGTAAAAGTGCCCATAGTTTTCCCCCTGCGTTTTTGGTAGCCACCACCCCTCCCCCCTATTGACATTGTCAAAACGTAGATAGATTATCTGGCAGACATATATTTCTTGAGCTTTTATTTTAAAGGTGAGCACTTGTTAAAGAGAGACACTCTATTTTATTTTCTAAAAAAAAAAAAGTTTTTGCGAATATAATGATAAGGCAATAAATGCGAATATGTGATGGCTAGTAATCTGCAGGCGGTATATTAAATGCTTTCTCAAATGTTGGTTATTATTATTCTCGTAATTCTTTATTATAAAATTGATTATCACGTCATCAGTTCTGATTAAATAATCTAGATTTGTAACCTGCGTTGTTGGTCCTTTTTGTTTATATTTTTATTTACGTATAAGATTACAATTGGAATAATGCGATTTAATAAGTTTCACCTCTATCATGTGCAAACAAAATATCGCAGATAAGCACACGTGTGTATACGTGTTAGCTGTGGGTTCAAATCAAGTTTAGACAGTTTAACCGCTGCCTAAAGTACTAAGCGTCCGGATTAATGTACATAAAATCAGCTGACTTAATTGACGGGAAAAGAGTGTTGAAGTTGAATATGAATGAAGTCGAGTGACCCGGCGTGGCAGAGGTCGGAAATTCGTGTCATTGTTAAATTGTGATAAGCGACTAATTTGTCAAAGAAGTATAGCGGAGAAGGAAAGAAGAAATTGTTTTATACGGCATTTCCTCTGACACGCGCTTCCCGTGCGTACATGTAATTCATCGGCCGTTGCTAACCCCTTTCGGCCTTTTACTTCTACAGTTTGTAGCTTGACCTAAAGAACGCCGTTATTTTTTTTCTCTCTCTCCCCCCCCCCCCCCACTACGGTCACTCTCTCTCTCTCTCTCTCTCTCTCTCTCTCTCTCTCTCTCTCTCTCTCTATCACGCTCTCTCTCTTCTTTATCCCTTCCCTTCTTACTCTTACTTTATTTATATTTCTCCCCTCACTCATTCTATCATTTCTTCTTTGGGTGTGTGTGCGTGGGAGGGGGGGAACGGGAGGTCCAAATCTTTGCCCTGGCCTGGCCTTACCCAGTGCTTCGCGTGTGTCTCTTTCTTACGTATTGTTTATGTAAATACTGGCATGTCAGGTTTGTAAATCTCTGAAGATGTTACTGGGATGGCTGCTCCTCAAATATATATTGCGTAATTATGCCAAACTTTATGGAAATCCCTCAAATGATACAAATGTTTGCCCCCTTCTCTTTTAATTAAGTTTAATGACACGTGTGCTCTCCCCTTCTCGGCGTCTTTATACACGGAATGCCATATTTGAAATTCATCATTCAGTTATCTTTTTTTTTTTTCGAAAATTAAATCATAAAAGTAACTTAACGATATGATTCAAAAAGTTTTAAGATACATCTTATTAATTAAATTCGGTAACATGGGTGTGTTCTTCTCCACGGCGTGTCTTAAAACGTTATATTTGATTTTCGAAGACTGTCACTTCAAGATATGTTTTATTTTTTGAGCGCTTAATCTTTATGCTAAATGTAACTAAATTACCAATAAAAATGATGCTGGAAAAATTATCCATCACTTAGTGTACTCAAACAATCAATTTGCTGTGGTCATTCTTTGCCTTTTACCCGGATGTCAAGTGAAGATGATGAAGAAGCTAAGTGAACACCTAAAAAAAAATCCTATTTCTCTAGTAAGCAATGTGTGCAGTGGACTATCATGTATTTATCTCTCGCTTTCCCTAATTCCCGTGAGATTTCCAATCCCTTCATGATTGCATTAGATTCCGTTTTAACGTGCTTAATTGATAAATTCGCCCTACCTCGACTTTTAATTGACTTTTGTTCGACAGCGGTGGAATTCCTCCACAGAGCGGATTACAAATGCACGGCGAGTTCACCGAGACCCTAGCTCGTCCTTTTCAAGGCGGACACAACGCTGTTTGTCTTCAGCGCTTCACGTAACGTCTTTATCGCGCCTACTGCCTCTAAGGGGGATGCTCTGTCAACACACAGGTGAATCTTTATCTCTTTTGTGAAGGCAAGTACTGGGGTGGAACCCTGGAAGACAAAGTGTAAAGGTACACGTAGATACAGAGACAATGCGATAACAACTTGCAACAAGCTGACTTCTGTGTTGCCTGTTCTCCACACCTTAAGTTTGCATTGTGCGTAGGCCTACGTGCAACGGTCAGCCGGTGCGAGAAACTGAAGGGCATGTGATGATATGGGAGAAGAGTGTCAGTCTGCTTAATTGTCTATCTGTCTGTCTGTCTGTCTGTCTTTCTGACTGGCTGCCTGTCGATCAGCCGCCTGTCGATCAGCCGCCCGTCCGCTTTTCTAGCCGCCTTGCAAGCAACGATGGATGAGCACACATCAGTCTGTATGTATGTCCGAGAGTCTGTGTATGTATGTCCGAGAGTCTATGTATGCCCGAATACGTGTGTGCAATCGAACTCAGGTGATACTCTGCTTTTCTCCAATCGTACACAATCCACCCAACCGCTCCCAACCCTCAAAAATTAATTGATGAATGTGCGCGCATATATGCGTGCATATGTGTATGTGCACATGCCTGTGTTGGCAGGGGCATATACCCGCTATGTTAGCGCGTGCATGTTTTCGTGCCACTGTGTATGGGGTGCGGGTGAAGCATTGGTGGTGGTTGTATGCACAGTACTTCCTTTTCGTACTACGCTATTTTATTGAACGTTTATATTGGTGTTTTTCATTACGGACAAACCGTTTCGTAATTTCCTCTAAGTGAAAATTAACTGATATTATTCTTTTTCTCTTGTGAGAGCAGGATGTATAAAGAATTAGCCAATGCTCGTTCTCTTTCAGTTTAAAAGGAAGAGAGCCCACAGACTTTAAGATAACATAGTAAAAAAGCCTGCCTTAACTGAATGTAACCGCAAGGCAGCGCATTTAAAAGATTAGAAAAACGGATAATCCAGCCGCGAAAATAAATGAGAGTAGTGAAATGGCAATTTAAATTTATTTTTTAAAAAAGAAGACAAATAATCAGTCCAATCTACCTCTATACGAACCGTTTAAAGCAAGTTTAAAACACAACGTATTTACATTTTTGAACGCTAACTTTACCTTCACGAACAATAAAAAATGTTTGAAGAAAGATGCGCTTTTCATAATGCCTTTAACAAGTAGATGTCGTCATAGGACAGAGAGCTCGAGCTTATAAGCTGCGCATATGATATTGCGTAAGATGCACTCTGCCCCCCCCCCCCCTATCTCCACGCGACCCTGGGTGAAGTGGGCGGGGACGGCATACCTGCACGTTAACGGGGGACGGCCAAGCCTGTTTTTATGAATAGCCAGGGGTCTGTTTCAGTCACCGTGCACGCGTTTTGCGGTCGGTCTTTATCGCCTCTTCGCTGTCTCTGCATATCTTTCTTTATAATCCCACCACCCATATCTATCCCCGAATGTCATATTTTCTTTGTAACTATCGAGGGATTGTTTGTACAACTTTACATCGCGCGTTTTATCAACTCCTTAAGTTTATCAACGCTTCTTGAGTAGCTGGTACTTAAGTGTGTCTCATGATCCTTTTAAATCTCGGACGCTTATTGCACATCCATTCTCATGCGCCTATTCCACAATACTTTTAATATGCTCCCATATGATCTAGGGGATAATTTCGTTTCTTATTGTCCTCTCCACAAACAATAAACCGTGGCTGTATAGCCAAGGAGTCCTCGAGAGTTTTGATAATAAAATTGAACCCTGAATCAAGAGCAATTAAGGCTGCTGAGCGTGAGAGTCTATTCCATTTTGTCCAGGCCATTGAATTCGACAATCTATGATACAGTTTTACGGACAAATCCAACAATTACGAATGCCACCATTGTTTATCAGATGCTCTTGCCATGAAAAAAATAATTATCTATCAAATCTAAAATGCCAACTACTTAACTGACGTATATATTTCATACTACATGGCACTGCGAATCTTCATACAGAAGCTTAAAATGCTTAGTGCAAATTGAACAGAAATGGTCAACGTGAACATAATCTCGATGATTTGGCAAATCGTCTAAAGGACCACTTATGTGTTATTCATTATTATAAAAATACCTCAATTTTTGCTGATTCAGTTCTTATACGGCTGGTACATGTATATGTGTGTGTGTGTGTGTGTGTGTGTGTGTGTGTGTGTGTGTGTGTGAGAGAGAGAGAGAGAGAGAGAGAGAGAGAGACCCGAAGTGGGGACAAAACAATGACAATGGTTTCTTGTTCGCCAGAGAGAGAGGGAGAGAGAGATTACTATTGTTAGAAAATCTCATATGCTCAATCCTTTATGCAGGCTCACGGAACTTGGCATCATTATGTAATCGAAACGTATTATTGATACTTTCCGCACATAAATTGTTATATATATATATATATTTCGTCGAGAGGGGAAGAGAAATAGTGGCCCTTGTGACTTCGTAACACGTTTGCACTTGGATGTGGTCGCCCTCCACTCTTAAATTTCAACATTTCCTAATAATCTACAAGGAGGACTAAATTAAAAATCGTTTCCTCTACAGATTGATAAACTTCAAAAATATCTCCAGCTTCCTCTCCTATTTTCCCGTTCAATATAGTATAAAATACACGTACGTGAAAGAAATCCCACACCACTCACACACTCACAGCTTAACAAATTCCCTTCTCTAACTTACACATTTACACGAAAACATATACCTATGGCCACATAAAGGATGATAAATTATATAAACTTATCATCAATTGTTTGCTGATAAATTATCAATAAGATAAGTCTCAAAAGCCGGCTTCTGCCCTCACAGCCAAAATAAAACTGAAGATTTCAACCACGTTTTGTTTTGAAGTTCAATGTAAGTATGAAGTCTGTAGAGTGAGGTCCCAGGGGGGTTGTCCAACCTTACATCAGTATGGGCCCACACACACCATAGACGTTTCACATGCCTGAGAATGTGCTCATACATATTATAACATTTAAGATGAGTTTTCAGGCACACGCTTACGTTCGAGCACACTGGAATATTGTCTGGGGAACGAAGTAAAGAATATCGTTCTAACGTATGGCCAACATATTGCCCCACGCTCGTGAGCTCATACACACACGCGCGCGCGCGCAAACACACATACACACACACACACACACACAACGACACAAACACAATCACACACAAACACACAAGTACACGCACAGACACGAGGAGAAAAAATCAAACACAGAGGGAGATAAAGGGACATACATGAACACGCACGCACACACGTACGCACACAAACCCCACATGCAAAAATCATACAGGCAAAGACATTGGCAATTAAAGGCACAGATCCATATCATAGTAAAACACAAGCGTAATAAATGAGTCAAAAATAAATTAAACAATAGCATTTTAATCGTGAAAGTGAAGCGATAACTGATAAAAAGAACATATTTATATTGTCAGATCAAACTGTACTATAGGAATAAAAACAATATATCACAGAGGAAGTTATGAAGTTTAAAAAAATCAAATTATATTAATCAGTAGGTATCAGCATAGGAAATCACTCATGTGATTTACAAAGATGATAAGGTTGGAGTTTCTTCCTGTCAATATTTATGTGTACTTTACCAAAATACAAATCAATATGAAACAATGTTGATGAAAAAACAGATTTTACAAGAATTACCAATCTACATCACATACTTCTAGCATTTCCCTCCCTACTTCCCAACAAAATTCATTTTTACGTTATGTGCACACAAAACTTAAAATTGCAATTCGAACTAAGGTGTATTAAATTAGATGGCGGAGATATCTTCTTTCTGAAATACGCACACAAACAGAGAGAGAGAGAGAGAGAGAGAGAGAGAGAGAGAGACGCACACATACACACGCGTTCTGGCACACGCACACGTGCATACATGCGTGTGGTTTAGAAAGGTTAATTCAAATCCATTATCCCCAGCATTGACCTTCGATAGGACACGAGTCGTTGTTCACAATAACGTATGTCCTGTGACAGCAAGCCGTGCTGGTGTTATAAGTGATGAGTCGCGTACTCACGGCTTAGGATTTTAGTCCAACCACTTTCAACGCCCTGATTATACAACACGTACACGAGATAAAGTCTATTATTTGGACAGAGAGAGAGAGAGAGAGAGAGAGAGAGAGAGAGGAAGAAAAGAAAGGCAAGAGAGCAAGCCTATCAATTGCAAATTCAATCAACGAACGATTCGCATGGAATGCAATATTTTCATTATAAAGATATCAAAATTCCTTGTCAATCATTGAGAGATAAGTTCGCCAGCAGTCCTCATATTCCATGTACACAACACGGTATTTTAGCTAACAGAATAGTTGACAATACCTGGATCACTTGTGTGACATTGAGACAAGTATCCGCAGTAATCTGACATGTGAAACATGATCTGCAGCTCCGTTTATTTTCTTCTGCAGTGTGTTAGTGATACGGACCGTTAAAGATAAAAATCAGACTAAAATGCACTACAATGAGCCATTACCTTGTTAAATGGGGATTTGAAACACAGAGAATTAATCAATTAAATTAAAATAAAACTTTGAGCAGGCGGACACAACTATAAGATAAGATATACTGGCTCTAAAAGTTTTTTTTTCATTATATCCTCGAAAAATGCCTCAAGCCGCAAAGAATTCACAAATGGATATCGTAGTAAGATAATGGCCGGATGATAACAGGACTAAGTTTAATTTGGCAAATAATAACGATGGAGGGGGATTAATGTTTGGACTTCATCCGCTGCACTTTGCACGGTACTTCAAGTGAAAGTGGCTGTCAGGAAGGTGAGACAATTACTTTGTCGAATGTTTTCAATTTAGGAGTGTGGTTTAGAACTCGCACTGTGTTACAGCGCCGTGGAACCTATTGTCCTTATTTCGCGCTGCTCCCTTTCACTATAAATGGGGATAATTTAAGGAAAACCACAGATGCAGATGGAAGTTACAGTGGAGAACCCACGCACAAAAAAAATCACCAGACTCTCCCTGTATTTGCATCACAAATTATATTAATCTTTTTAAGTAATGTCAAATTGATTTGAAGCAAGCTTAACGTCGCTAGACAAGTGCAGATAAAGAGAAAATATCTGAACACTTCATTTCTGCAGTCGTTTTTTCACAATTCCCTTGGATAATGATAGGAAATGTACGTGAAAGTTCGCATCGTGGTTATATCTTTGATTAGTTTTGTGCACTCCATGATTTGTGCCATTGCCGTGTATTACTTACAACTACAACAAAATGAAAAAAAGTCTCAAAAGTCTAGAAGCGGCAGGATTGTATTACGGAACCCTGCATGCTTTCGACTGTTTTTATAGTGAAACGTCTGCAAGTATGATAACCATTGCGTCAAACGATAATTTAAAGCCGTACAATGCGCGTTTGACTTTTCATGTAGCAAAATAATGCTGAAAATTCCAGCGATTTATCACCAACGTATACCCAATTCAAAACCGTTGAAATAATTACTATCTATAAATCCGTTTTAGAGCTGTTGATTTTTAACATACCGCCACGAGAGAGATTCACCAATTCCAGTGTTCATTACTAGAAAACTCAAAAGTCGATATATAAATCGTAATTTTGTCAACGGCTTTGAGATGACGTGCCTTGGTGACAAGGTAAAAGAGTTGAAATTTTAAGGGGATTTCAATATTTGCTAAACAAAAGTTAAGTGCTCAATTATGCGACTTAAACCCATGCCGAAGTAAGCACGTGCAAGCCTCCAGTTCCCAGAAAGTTTGTTACAATCCATTCATTGAGCCAGAGATTTATGCTTTAAATCGAATCAATAACAGTCTTAATCGTATGCACTGTTTCAAAAGCTCTTATTGCGAATATGCAGCAATTTTTTCCTCACGTCGCAGTTACCGTAGATGAAGGTACATCGTAGCCTTGTCTTCTACAACAACAGCAAATAGAATACGAAATACCACGCCTGAATTTTGATATGAAAACAACATAAAAAGGCGTTGCTATGGCAACCTGGAAATAGGAGCACCACGTTGCTATAGTGATGAATGTCAGTGGGGGCGTCTGATTGGCGTCGATCATGTACCAAAAGAAAAGCACCAGGTAGGGCATCCACAGGATGACGAAAAAGACAGTGACGCAGAGAAAAGCACGTGTTATCTGATCGGTCTGTTTCGAAGAAGAGCTTCGTGTGCTGCTGGCGGGGGTCGTCGCTGATCCTCCACTCCCCTGGTTCCCCGCTGTCGGCTGGGAAGGCGCAGGCTGGGAAAGCTGCGCCTGGATTGCGGTAGCGGCGCCCACCGCAACGGTCGGCTGCGTCACCGCCAAGAGCTGCCTGTGCATCAACTGCGCACCGGGGTGGATAAAATTCCACGTTGTGCTTCTCGCAGGGGCGCCGGCCCCTGTTTCCACTGGACGCATCCTTCGGCGTCTCCTAAGGTAGGTGAAAATTCCCACATAAACGCAAACAGTTATTATCACCACGACGATAAAAATTAAGGCGTAACCGAGAGTGTTGTTTGAGATGTAATAGCCATGTTCGTACGTGCATTGGGACTCGAGGGGGTAATACCTATAACTGCCTAGCCCCAGGGCCGGCAAGAGGGCCATGAATAGGGCCAGGATCCATCCGCTGAGGGCTATAGCCAGGCTAGTAGTCCCTTGTATCTTTCTGTAGAAGTCGTAGTGGATATTACCGAAATGCCTGTCCAAAGCCATGGTGAATATGGAGAAGAGAGCCGAGAAAACGCACAGGGCGTTGAAGCCGGCGAGGATTCGGCAGCCACTCTGGCCGCGAAGCCAGTACGTCCGCTGCATCACTGTGGCCAAGACGAAAGGCAGACAGACGGCGCTTCGGATCAAATCCGCCATCGCCAGACTGAGCATGCAGTAGTAAGGCGGCCGGTGTAGTCGACGGTCCTTGCTGATCACGAAAACAACCAGAAAATTCCCCGCTACGGCAGTGACGATGATGATGCCTAAAGTGACGCATTTCAGTATGTGCAATACCGAGTAATATTCCATCAACTCTGGCGTCCCCCCTTCCCCGTAGCGGTAAGGGGCAGACATGTTTTCCAGTCTAGCCAAGTCTTCGATCAATTTCCCCTTAATGTTTAGGTTAGGCCGTATGATCAACATGTGATTCTCTGGAAAGAGTGCCGATTTATTCAAATACTGCAATAAGATTGCTCGTCCATTAAGGGATATACAGCCGAGATATGACTCTGATTTCTCTCCAGTAATGATCACTGGAAAGAGTAACGTTTCATTAAATTGCTGCTGTTGATGTCCTCCATAAATTGACGGGAAGCCTGAAATGTTCGGATTCCTCTTCTGACGGCCTGTCGGTCTTGTTACTTATACGACAGAGATAATGAAGAAAATGACCGGTTTCCTAGTGTCTCGCAAGCACTTAAACATGCGCTCTGAATCCTGTGTCTCTCTTAGAGATGATTAGTCAAAGCGCGTTGCCATGGATATATCCCTGTACACCGATGTCAATTAGAAAAGATTACGGTGCAGATAAGAAAGGGATATGAAAATGTCATGAAATTCCTCTCTGCGTGTGACATACAAAATGGACGACGCCCTTCTTCTTTTGGTTCACAAAAGTCCTCTTAAATGTCCGATTCCTGAATTATAAATCAGACAGTAACCAGAGGTTAGCGTACCGTAATGAGAATATGTTTAGCCGTGTCCATGTCTCAATATCGATTGAAATACTGTCTCTATCTCTCTCTTCCCTGTATAATTAGTATTCTTTGTCTAGTTTGTCCATTTTCAAGAATACTGGCCTAGATTCTGCCACTGGATTTCCCAGAAACGAAGCATAGTTATTCATCCTGTTTGTTCGTGTACCTAGGAAATACCAGATTTAATCAAACCACTTAATTTTTCCTGTTAAAAGATCACTAATTGTTGCCTACTCTGTTCAATCTACTTGAATAACATCATACTTTCAATTTTAAAAAATCTCTCGTATTTGATCGAAATTCGGGGAGTGGTTACCATTATCTTGAATTCCAAACTCTGTATATTGTGCAAACTGTGGGACAGCTACAGCAACTAGCACTCGATCACGATTTAGTATGTCTTGTCTGTTTTCATTAAATGCCTCTCAGTTAACTGAATAATTACTTATTCCTGTAAAAATATTGCAATCATTTCCAAATCTGGTCACCAGATATATCAAACTTATTTCACTGCTACGTACTTGATCGTTTTCTGTCCCGTCCGCCTCTTTACATATAAGGCTATCGTATTGTGGATAATATGATTCTAAATGACACCTAGCCTGTTTCCTCGAATATCACTCGTTATGAATTTCTCTTATTGAATTTTCGTGTTGTAAGGGAGTATTCAGCTCCTTCGGCAAAGCGCTGACCAAGATAAGCCAATTACCGTCACCGACACATTTGAAGGAGCTGACGTCAAAAAGATTTCAATGCCCGCTGCTCACTGTATGCTTTGCAGAGAAAACTCACCTGCCTATAACAGAATCTAATTATGGTCAGCGATCACTAGGACGTCATCACTGTGTAATATTGTTTCTTTGTCCTTTTAACTCTCATGTGTTTTTCTCAAATGTAACCACACCTTGGTACATACTGTAATCGAATGTAAAAACGTGTAGGCCTATGATTCAGCCAGGCTGCGCCAAAGTTCGTTGCAAAGATGTTGGAGCTTAGTCCAGTTATTCTAGACCAAACAACGACCGAAGATCCATCTGCTTGAACCATCCACGCATGCAGTTTTCACTGTTACATATACATGTAGATATTGTTTCTCAGTCTGTGTTAACTGCACTCATTCCTTGGCCACAGCTGTCAATGTGTCTCTCCCTAAAGCATTATACACATTGCAAAGTGGATTGGTCCGTCTTTGTTGTGCGCTTACGTACACAAGTCAATTATTCCGCCGATAAAGATCGCTCTTTCTCTCTTTTTCCTTCACTCCGTGCTTGTTATTATAATCCTCATGTCCTCGCAGAAATCGATGATCGACATAGGTTGGGTAATATCATGCACGAATACTTGCTTTGCGCATAACAATAAAGATCGCCGCAGCGTTCATTTTGTTCTAGTCCAGCTGTTGTTTTCAGTCATTATTTGTAATGACGCTGATCTCTTCTGCTGCAAAGTAGGCTTACATGTGCTTTTCGTGTCATTTCTCTCTTCTTCGCTCTCTCTCTTACTCTCTATCTCCCTCGGACTGCCTTGACTAGAATTTTTTACAATTATAGGCTGCACATTACATGGGGCGTCGTTCTGCCCACTGTTTGATTCATTCATAGCATCTGATAAATTTAAGACATCTATAAGTAGATATCTCGCCAGGAGCCTTCTATATGTAAAGACATCCTGTGTTGTCGTCTATTCTAATTTTTTCTATCATCATGGTTTTTCCACCTAATTCCCTATCCTTATGCATAAAACATTCTCTAGCGAAGCTCTTACTGTATATATAATATACAAAAGCGTAGTAATTGGCTTCTAGTCGACGCCGTGGTTGCTAAGGACTTCCCTGCCTGAGATTCTATTGCTAGGCATTTTCAACATGTAACAGATGAGCGCTGAAAATGCATGTATACCTGCGCCGTAAATAAATCATGAACTATCCCCGAGAATTTCGCCACCTTTCCATCGTCATACCGCTGTGAAACAGTTGACTCATGACTTATTTAGATTTCTCATGTGAGAGCATCGTGTCCATCAAGAGCTGAGAGGGCTTTTTTTTTAATATAGCAATCACAAAGCTTGGTTTCAATGCACGTCGTTATACCATAGCTCACCGTGATATGCGGACTTAAACCCGATGCCCCATCGATCGAAAGCCGAAGCAAAAATCGATAGTTTTCACATGGATATTAAGCTGCTGCTGCTGCACTTGCGGCGAATTTTGAAGTGTCATCGTATTGATTTTGTGTTGTTTTGACATAAAACAATGCGACTTTAGTGTTACTGAAGGGCTTTATCTTTGAGACGTGGGGAAAACACTGTATTCTGGTCACATAACCGAACACGTTTTTTTTTAATGTTCCGTTTTTAATGTTCAATGATTATCGCTTGTCAATAAAATATAAAAATACAGCCGTATTTAGGAATTTGCTAGATATGTGTTGTTGAGGGGGGGGCACAAGAAAAAACATCAATCTGTCTTTTCTCGGCAAGTATAAAATGGTCGACGCTGACTACATGCAAAGCACAGGGATTAAAAGACTAAAAATTGGTTTAAAAAATATTTTTCAGCCATTATGCTTCTTATACTGTTTTGGGGGAGGAAGAAGAAGAAAAGTGCCATCTGCCAGGGCCACAGATTGATTTAGACTCGATATAAACAGACATGTCCAGGGTTAATCCATGGCCCATGTCCCCACTGTGGAGAAAAGTGCACATAATTAATCTGTGACCGTGGTAGAGAGAGAGAGAGAGAGAGAGAGAGAGAGAGAGAGAGAGAGAGAGAGAGAGAGAAGGGCGTACTTCTGAAGCTAAGGGGAGGGTCTGGGGAAGAACTGTGCCGTGACTAATACCCGGATGCAGGGTCCATTGTACTTTTATCGCAGTTTCCTCTATTCCCATGTAAATCTTCAAATGAAATTACATTTGATTGATTATGTCTGCGTAAATATTGCATTTATTTCAGGCTCCATTACAGGAAAAGGATGATAATTGACTTTCCGCACGGAAACGCAAGTAGCATCCTCACTGTGGGTGAAAGGATTTCCGATAAAAACTGACTTTTAAGTCTGCTGAATCTTAATTATTTGTATTTCATGTACTCGAAGCCGTTCAAGGAAAATTGCTTGGAAATTACTGTGAAAGTAACGCGGGTTGCCATCTCCATGGTAACCATCAGGATGACTTCAACATTAAAAAATAGACAAGTACAACAAGGAATGATGGTAATAGCTCAGTAGGATACTAGATAGGAATAGTTTTCCAACACAATGACTTTTAAAGACATGAAATAATAAAACCCTTTTTAGTATAACCCTGGATTTACCTTTCTTCTTGTCAATATTTGTATGAATTATATGCGCAAAAAAAAAGATAATTAACAAGATTATCATAGAATGAAACTGATATTTGTATTCTTCGGGAAACAAAGCATCGAAGGCATAGCTTCGGTGTAGAGGGTTGCTATAACTTAGATCAGACAAAAAAATGCGCATCAAACAAGGCAGTAATCCGCCAATGCGTTCACAAGCAATTAACAATTTGTAATTGTGCAGGTTATCCCGCAGCTTTAACTGCGTTTACTTGGTATGAATACGTGCGCAGGTGTATTTGACTCACCAGAAAGCGACGCAGATTAAGAGAGATTAATATCGTATTTGAATAGCATTCCTGCTATTATATTAAATCACGCTACCATCAATATATCACTGATTATACAAAGCTAAGAAACTTGGCAATTTCGTCGTTTTGGCTTTGTTACGGTATTCGTTTCCCACCTTACTCTCCTAACCTCTTTTATCAATTAAATTTTTCTTTGTTTAATGCATTTGCGTTTCACAAAATGCGGCTTAAACGCACAGCTATCGCAATGATGCATTGGCATGTATGTACCGGTATTAACCTAGTGGTTTGCGAACGCAAAATAACTATCTATTGAGATGGGCCGTATACATCAATACGCATTCTCCATTGGAAAACGATCTTGTTAGTAAATGAGCAGGTTCCGAACTAACATTCGGATGGTCGTTACAGGTAGCTTCGCTACTACATGTAATATTTTTCTGCGCATATTTATGCTTGTTATTGCACTATTTACAATTAAACGTAGACATTTTAAAAGTAGAAATATTGAACAGTAGATGTTTGATCGTGTAACATGGTGATATATTGGACCAAACGTTGCGATGACTGCACGAATACATGTTTATTTACACAAAGTTGAAAGAAACAAAATAATATGGGTGAGAAAATACTAGCACATGGTAGGTATAAAGATCAACGTAGAAGTTCGATACCATGTATTAAAACTACACTGAACATCTTGTATCAAAAGTTTTATCGTAACATGGAAACTTTCGAAAATTGGCACATTTTCATCAAAACACGCAAACATCCATACGGTCAATGCAACCAAATCCAAACCCAATCTTTCTCCCAAAGGGCAATTAAACAACCTCGAACTTAATATGCAATACGTTGTGTATCCGTCAACATATTTCCCCTTCCAACATGCACTAATACAGAAACACACTTAACAATAATTCACCATATTCCTTTCACCAGCACAGCAACACAAATCCTCACATACCCTGCTTAAGTAAAAGAACCATTCAAATTGTATGAAAATAGAAATAAGTAAAATGCCACACACTGGGAAGTAAGTTTCTTTTACATTACATACATATAGTTGGGCACAAGACATCCCTGACCCGACGGCAAGAAAAACGTGCCACAAACACGAGCAGCATAAACAGAAAACTGATTGTCTTTGAAATGCTTAATTGATTCCACAAAAAACGAGGTGGATTAAGACCCGTTGGACAAAAAAACTCCAAACTGTTGAGTCTCACGTCAAATGCCCTCTGAAATGATATGCCCAAAACGCCATACCAACTTTACAAATCAGGTTTTGAATTGTTGAAGGTCGATGGCCAGGTCTTCGCGCAATATGTCCTTCACCTTGTAGTTTTCAAAATGGCCGTCGATGAAACCCCACCCATTGTTCCGCACGTGCCAGCAATCAACGTGCTTACTGGTTCTCATGTTGAGTCGCCTGCCAGGACGAACTTCTACTGGACGTTTTCTAAAACGACCTTGGAATGTCAGGAGCGCGGGGTTGGAAGCAGATGCCGGTGAAGCCGTTGGAGACTGGATGTTGACAGCTCGGTGGAAGAATTGACCTAAAATGAGTGTTTCAGATGTCAGGATTATACCTTTCATCAAACTGAGCATACCTTACAACCACATTGAGGGAATAAAGCGCGCCCTATTATTACGTTTACTGTGTCGATAAAATATTTCTGCTATCATCAGTATGCGTGAGTTAGATGTGACAAAAACACGAAAAAAATTTAATTGCAGTATCCAAACTGTATGGATGATGGATGCATATTAATTAACATGACTATCCAATAACCTGCATCTCTATTCCAATCTTTAACAAGAAATGCCTGGACATGTTCAATTTCCATTACTATCTTAAAACAGGCTCTCAAAGGAATCTGTACTCACCTATCAAGCCGTGTGACCGGCTGGACAAGCCATCTCCAGACAGAATATAGAAACCCACGAAAGAAACTTTAGTAGGATGATTCCTCTTCACCCTATGTCGAACTATGGCGAACTCTTTCCCATTGCCCACGCCTATGGTCACATTCCTTTTCTTGTGTATGGTGACCTTGACCCCATCAGTAGTGGAGATCACGGTGTTTTGGCGCCAGTTGTAGGTTTTGTCGTTGATCTTTATCGAATGTGGTCCCACTTTAACCCGTGTATTTCCGTGAAGAAAACCAATCGCCCCAAAATAGGTTTTCGTCTTGTTCCAAGTTTTAGTAGAGCCCTTCCTAGCTACGATCTTGGCGTTGACGGTAATGTCTTAAATTGAAAAAAAATCAAAATCATAACTATCGAGCAGATTTAAATTATAACTGTTTGATAGATCCTTGATTCTAGCACTCTGATAAATCTTAGATTGTTTTTGTTGTGTTTTAAGTGCATGCTATTTGCCTTAACAAGAAAAAACGTGTGCTGATTTCTTATATGGCTTTAAAAACAGCAAGTTTAGTATGATGTATAGAATTAATTAGGTTGCCTGCAATTCAACAGTGTGCAGACAAGCCTCCAGTTTAACCGGTCTACATGAATGATGAGAATGAGGTCGAGCAGCGGAGAAGACTTACCTGAATCCGGATCCCATAGCAACTGATAAAGGTCGCCCGGATTACCGTTGACATCGAAACAAACGGGTTTGTTACTGCCTTTCACAGTGATGAGAAAGTGGGGGTCATTGTCCGCTGGAAAAAATGTCAAATATATGGTCAGTTAGCTAAAATGGGGACCATTCACAATGGACTTTTGTCCACATAGTTACTCCACGGGGTTACTCCACGGGGACTCTCACTGAATGCAATCAGTGTAACCCTTCCTCTTGTTTCCAACGTACCCGTCCAAATACAAGCCTTTCTACATGTATATTTACCTCAACGCCACGAGGAGGCGATTTTTTCTGTTAATCTGATTGCATTCAGCTAGAGTGCCCCTGGAGTTAGAGCGTATCAGTTGGGTCGACAATATTCATTGTGAACGGTCCCATAGCCTTCAATGAATAATAGTTCAAAATATATTAACGGGCAAACGGCATTAGAGTGAAACATTTTATTTAACTTAAATTGTTTGTATATCTGGCATTTGAACCTCTGCCAAGCGGAGGGTTTACAGACAGACTAGGGTCTATGGTTAAGTGCCCCTAACGATAATAACCACGTCGTGATGTTTAAATGATTTGTGAAAAAAAGACAAAATGACCAGACGATGGGAGAGATCCTGATTCAGATCCCGATCTATATTTCAATTTTTTCTTTTCACAATTGACAGTGATATTTGATAGTAAATCTTAACAGTGGACACAGCCCAGCAAACACAGTTAGTTATTATAACGTTACCGTAACGTTTATATAACCAAATGGAAACGTTATGTGTTTGTTGGGAGTGTCGTTTATGTTGTTGACACTGAATTTAACTGCTACAGAAAAGATCTATCACCCTTATTATGCACGAAGTTGTTGTAACAGAATAGAAGAGTTATTACCAGAAATATAACATTGATCATTTTAGCTGTTACATAAAACTATCATTATAAATCTTTTACCAAGCTCAGAAGTATGGCAATACTATGCACAGACACATTTCTCATGATATGAAAAACTTACAGAGAGCCTCTTTCACTTTTTTCTTGTTTTTTCGTTTTCTGCCAGAGGTTCCTGCCTTATGTTGCCGCTTAGTTGTGTAGGGAGTGTGCGTAGTTGTAGTAGTTGTAGTAGTAGTAGTAATAGTAGCTGGTAGCAAGAATGACGGTCTTGGCAATGACAAGAATGTTGGCATTGGAGGCGGTAAACGAGCGTGCATGAGGTTGAAATGGTCGAGCCTGCGAAACTGCCGAATGTCAGCTAAATAATGATGATTGAAACAAGACTATAAACGGACAAACTATGAAACTATGTCATGCCAAACTCTAGAAATTCATCGACCGTTGTCCGAGTTACATTTGACCCATTTTCAAATATCACGTGTACTTCTTAGCAGCATGTGTCTTAAACATATGATAGGTTTTCTGTTTTCAAGTCCCTGTGCCCACAAAACACGTTTTTAAAGTAAAATCATATAGGTGATAAATTATTGTTTACAAATACCAGTAGTAAAATTTTCTTACTTGAAATAATGTCTGAAATATATAATATTTTTCAATGAAATAAAAGGACTTCCTGCATTTTAAGGACTTAAAATGTATTTTCTGCGCAATGTAGATTAATGTTTGCAGAGTCGAATGTGTGCCAACCAAGATCTTATGATCAATGAATCATATAAAATTATCTTTAAGAAGACTACGAAGAACAAGTCCCAGGAGTGGTGAAAGGTTTAAAGTGACCATTGTGAATGTAAATGGAAATCTTCCAAGAATGTCCAAAACTAGTCTGCGTCATACGAGAATGTGCGAGAGTCAGCGTGAAGTAGAGTTAACTTTTTGGCGATAAGCTTGAGATTCTTTGCACCGGAAATGTCGTCTTAGTCTTGAAAACAATACAAAAGTGACACCCATGACATGGTCTGTAGATATACAGAACTTGAGAAAAAACAACATAAAAAACATCTATAATTAGATAAAGTCTGTCAGCTTTTCTTTGTTGCTGCAACGCACTCGCTGGTACGTCATAAATTCTGACCCCACTCCCCTCCAAATCTCGCGAAATCGCGAGACTTTGAGCTATCTCGGATGATTCCCATTTTCAGCAACTTGACAAAATTTAAATGGCCTACGATCAAGTCAAATATAGGAACAACTCACCAAATCCTGAAAAGCCCGGAGACCCCGAGGACCTTTGAACGCTTGCTGAATGGACCATCTTTCTGGAAGGTCCTCTACTCTTCGATGCACCTATTTTATTGAAAGCACAGAAAAGGAAGATATTTTTTATCTGCTGTGGTCATTATGCACAATCGGTGTTGTGGTGATACAATTATATGCTAAATGATGTTTGTGCTCAGGAAAGTCTTCTGAAGATAAATACTCAACATTAATGGAAGAGTTACCCATTTAAATATCAGCGCAAAAAATAACGTTCGTTGTATATGCGTGTTCAATAAATATATATACACTGTAGCTCTTTATGGAAGAAAGAAAAACAAATCAGAAATGATAATCTATTTCTGTTACGATGGCATAACTAATGGCAAGAAACATAACGCCATCAAAATCGTATAACAATACTTACTACTTTCTGCTTCGGAACCGTCGTCTTCAATAAGATCCCCCGCGTTTTTCTCGGGCTCGTCTGGCTTGACGACCAGCATTGACGTCACAGGCGTCACAAAGTGGTACTGATATATAGTAACAGGGGTAAATTGTAATCGTCAATGTAATTTACTCATTTCCAAAAATGTGGATAGAAACTTGTTATTAGAGAGATAGTTTTCCCTCTTGGAATCCACTTTTCTTATAAAATTTAACTAATTAATTAATTAAACTAGTTAAAATTCCATTTGCATTACGAATTTATGCAGTAATACTGTGGTAATTAAGGTAACTATCCAACCTCAATAATGTCATATAAAAATTAAGATTAAAACATCTTCAAAATGTAGAATCGATGTTACTTTTTGTTTCTTTCTGAAGAAAAAACTGAACAAAAACTGAACTAAAACTCTTGTTTTTGTTTCAATTCAGGGACGGGAAATATGCAATGATTACAAACCCCGTTTTATATCTGACAAAAGGTTACGTTACCTTCAAGGACATATCCAGTGCTTTCTGTTTCAGAGTCTCCTTCTCCTGGTTATCAGACGTCTCCTTCATCGTTTCAAGTGTGTTCTTTATGGTAAGATACGCCCACAGTCTTTCCGTGAAAGACGTCAAACTGCTCGCGTCCGGAGCGTCAAGGTCAAGGTCCAAGGTGTTCCCAACCCCTCCGGTAATAATTACGTTTGTATCGAGCAACACATTGCCTTCAGCACCAACCCCTGAGATTCTCGTACTTAGAGACGGGACGTTGACATCAGCTAGTTTTCCCGCCACAACGATTTCAGACCCATCGAAATAGTTGATGAACGCGTTTCTGGTTAGAGATGTGTTGTCGACAGAGTCACCAAGATACTCGACTTTTATGTCCGACAGCAAAGGGTTGGCGACTTCATCGTAGAATCCTTTCAGCTGCAGATCGGCGTCGGAGTCTTCGTAGATTTTTCTGGCAACGCCGCGGTTCTGTAGTGACAATTTCTGCAGGAATTTGTAATCAGCCCCTGAGCCGAAGGCAAGACTGAACAGGCTGTATCTTTCTTTGTTAACAGCTTTCACGTTGCTTTCTATTTTTTCTAGCGACGTTTCGCCCGACGTTGGATCGCCATCAGTGAGGAAAATGATGAGCGAAGGCAACTTTTTTCCGCTCTGTGATTCGTGACGTTCCAGGAACTCCATACCACGCACCAGAGCGTCGTTGATGTTAGTTCCTGAAACCAAAGCATATGGTTTCTTGAAATAGAGACTTAGTTTTAAAAAAAGGGTTGCCAGGAGCTTATTTATAGCAGTACTAGCTGATGCTCTTTTGTCACAAACGTACACCAATTAAAATGTGAAAAAATTAACAGGCGACGGTAAAGCGTCGCTTAATTTTTTTTCATATGCACAGCGACATTATGCAAGTTCACGAAAAAATTACGGGGTCAAATTAGGACCTTGACTTCAAATTCAACTCAAACAATATAAAAAAAACTCCATACCCCCGCTAGCAGACATTCTGCGCACAAACTGTTTTGCAGCCCCCACGTGGTCAAGGGTGGCTTGGATCATGTTCTCGTCGTTCCAGTATCTCACGCCAGACCCAAACAAAATGATGTTGAAATAGTCATCCTCCCTCAGGTCATTCAATATGACATTCATTGCGTCTTTAACTTGTCTAATTTTTCTACCTGTTGTGGAAATATTAAAGTAAACTTAAAATACAGATATATTATCTGACTGCAAATAAACGGCAATATGTAGTGAAAGGGAAAAAAATTGTAATGAAAGGAAATTGGTCTTAATCATAAAAATTTTAACAAAATCAAAAATGCATTCAGCGTTATTGAACGAGGGCTTTTGAGACAGAAAAGTTTCACTTACCGCTCATGGAGCCACTCACGTCTAAAATAAAGAATACGTTTTTGTTCACGACAGGAAGACCTGTGGGGGCGAAGTAGTGAACGAAGTACCCATTAACAACCTGTAAATAAATAAATAAACAGAGTTTAAACTGCGGCACAGATTGAAGCTCCTTCTCCTTTCTTCTGCTGTTTTTTTTTCAATTGCGCAATTTCCACCGCAACTACAATAGGTCCGATGTAAAGAAACTGAAAATTCCGCCCTCCATTAGATCCATACAGGTTAGTGTTGGCATAACTTTAGTGGTTCAAAAATTAGAACGGAGCTTACCTTACAAAGCAATAGGAATCTGACCTAGCACAGCATGGGATTCTCTCCACGAAAGACTTATATTATACATCTCGTTACATAATCTCACCTGAAGTTCCCCGGCGTCCATATCCCGTTTGACGTCATATTGCACGACGAATTGCCCGGATATCCCAGCGGAGGAATCTGCCTGTTGCTCCGCCGCACTGGGGCGGTAACTGATATGGGCTTTATTAGGCGCGATGCGGTCGATTACTGCGAGCTCATTATCTGGAAATATTGAAATATAGATAATATTTAGGTGTTTGGATTATGTAATTTGCAGCGAATGCCGTCTTTAACCATAAACCGGTACGTGTACGTACTAGTACGTCCAAGTAAAGGCACCAATGACCATATCAAAAGTAAAATAATAGATCTAGTTTGTTCAAATTTACTAAAATTTTAATTTTAACAAATTACTTATTATTCGTAATGCATTACAAATACTTTTTTAATCTTCTGTAAATTGGTAAGTAACACCCCCGGCCTTACTTTGTGTGGCTTCAAGGTTATTCGTTTCACCAGGCACTCGAAGAGGCGGCACCTTCAGAACGGTAATCTCGCGAGATTCGTGAATGTACACATCAACTTTCAAATCTCGGACAACCTGCCCGGGATTCACGTTGATCACGTGTTCGTAAAGCCCCAACTTTCTCTGAAGCAGTTCCTGGAACGTGATGTTGAACGTGATCTTGCTTTGGGCAGCTACGTTGACGGCAACTTTGAAACGGTTCGTTTCTCTTGGTCTGTGAAAAGGAGACACATCGTTTAAAATAATATAAATAACACAACAGAATACATCATGACAAAACTTCGTCTGAAATCAGTAACAGCATAATATAATAAAGTATAACTACTGTTTCCAATTTAAATGTTTAGATTTTTTTACACTATACTATTTCTGCATTATAAGTGGTAGAAAACGTGTTTCAGAATTATTTTCCAATGTAAATGAGTTAAAACTTTCATGAATGATTTGTGAGGCTGCATAGACGAGTCTGCATATACGACATCGTTATAACGTACTTTGCGCTGACATGCCCGGCAGTCTGTCCCCGGCTTTTGGCCTTAGTATATTCCTTCTTTGCCTGCTCCTTCTCCTTCACTTGCCCATCGTACACCTTGCCTTCGATGGTCCTGAAACAGGCGTAACACAAGTTATTTTACTAAATATGCAATTAGTACAGTGTACATGTAACATGTGCGACCATGTGAACGTTGTTCTTAATAACCGCTATATAATTTTATTAAATACTTATAACATAGTGCTATTTCAGGATATCAATTAAATTTTTCTTGTGTTGAATTTGGTTATGTTTGGACTCTTTTCGTCTATAACATATTTCTAATACTACCGACAGCAGGATATGCGGTACTTCCGAAACAGCGGGATTATTACAGTAAAATAATGCAAAGGAAATGGAATGAAGAGGGTACTAGCAGCAATGGTTAAATGAAAATTGAAAGCAGGTGTAAAGGAAGAGGGAATGTTCATGCATTCCCTATATTTGGTAAAGAAGAAGAAAGGAGTAACTAGTCAAAGGCGAATATTGTACTTAGTTTCTGCTTTGCCGTGTTTTTAATTTACACATTTTAAAAACAAAGATGTTTATACATATCGACAGACAGAAATGTGTGTGTGTGTGAGAGAGAGAGAGAGAGAGAGAGAGAGAGAGAGAGAGGTAAATCTTACATGGAAAAATTCGATATAAAAGCGGATTCAGGTAGCTGCACCAGGAACACCGCCTCCTTGGACTCCAATGCATGGTTAGCCAGCCGACTGACCACAGTGGTGGTGGCGAAACGGTACGCTATGTCCGACCGTATGTGGAGTGAGTAGATTTCGGGCACCTGCAGAGATAAAGTTAGAAGTTTATTTATACCTTAGTTTTGTATTTTTAAAGAAACGATTTCACAGGCATGGGTGACGGTGTTGATTTGCAAAATGTATTGGCTCAAATGCCGAAAGATAAAGGGTTTCTATGGGCATATCAGTACTAAACAATGACGGACACAGAGGAGGCCACAGCGGGCACGTGACCCTCTCACGGCTTCTGGGGTACCCCCCCTTCCAAAAATAAAAACATAATACCAGCGAAACAGCACAACACAAGCATTTTGCCAACCCCTGTGCATTATATATCATGGTAACATTATGTTAATCTACAGTTTTATGTTGCCCTCGTTCGCCATTTTTATCCTTGCCCACACCTTTTAACAAAATATATACGGGCGCATTCCCATAGATTTTAGATCGATCTATCCCAGTGGGGAGTCTCACTAGATTACTGTCAGATAATGCGGCTTAAATGTCCGTCCCGCTTACTTCAAGCTGTAAGGGGGTAATTAACTTTCGTGCCCGCTCGGCTGACAGCTATTTAGCGTGAACCCCCAGGGAGCTAGGTCGATCTAGTTAGATAGATCTAATCTCTGGGAATGGGGTCTAGGATGCACTATAAGCGGTTTCAAAAAATAGATTTGCTAACTGGTAAATGAGTGATTGTCGTAAAGACGTCAACAGAAACTCTTGGTGGTCTATATCTGATCCACTAGCAAGTAGGCAGTTTCCCGTTGAATTTTAAGCGGGTCGGGTGTACATACATGTATGTGACAAAACCGTGGCCTTGACACCCAATACTAAATACTGGGTCTAAAGAACTGCCATACAAGTTGTTTTTCTTCCACGTTAAGAGAATTTAAAATAAACAGTTGGATTATAGCAATTTCACCGCGGAAATCTACCCTGGCATTTCTATATTGTTTCCTTTTGTAAAGGAAGTCACTTTGGAAAAATTCATTCCTGGGTAAAGACTTGACGGAAAGTTCCCATACTAAAAGCTTAATTCATTAAATATTTTTTCAAATTGGCATATACTGTATATCCTCTCTTTCCCTCTTTTCTTTTTGCTGATATTGAATAACTACTCCAAGATTTGCGCAGAACTTGAGCAGATGGTGGGTACGCTGTATTTATTTCAAAGAAATAGCGGCAACTTTCTCCATAAAACATGCAGTAATGGACATAAATTCTTCACCTCGGGGTGACTTTAGTCGTGATTTTTGCCAATATAGGTCAACCTTGGTCATCTCGATTTACTTCTATCAACCTTGACTGGAAAGGCGACTTAAAAGAAGAAGCCAAAGGGGGTCTTCGTGAGCACTTAGTTGATTGAACAGGGTACATTTTAGACCTTCGTCACAGCGTGCGGTGATATGTTTCTGTTTTGGTTTCTGCACAATTTTGAGAGATAAGCATCTTATAACCCGGGCTTTTAGTAGTTACATGTAAGGAACAGTCAAAATGTTACACTCTGGCCACTGGCTGCGCTAGTAGTCTGTTACAAAACCATTGCTTATTACTCATTAGACCCTATTCCCATATCTAGATCGATCTAGCGGGATCGGTCCATCTCCAAGGGGAAAAATTACTGTTGAGAGAGATACAGGTGGTTTTTCAGCATACTGGTACATTCCCATCAAATTTCGTTAGATTTTCACTGCAATGGTCATAAAACGAAATATTGCATGCAAAAGTCACATGTACAGTGTTATAAATGTATGGATGAATGGATCACCGTTACGGTATGCTCTGTCTACACGATAAGTATTAGGACTCGTATTTGTAGTTTCTTTCATAGAAAAATGTCCGTCTTTAAATATAACTTATTGTATTGCATTGTACTGTATTGTATTGTATACTGTATTGTATGGCATTGCATTGTATTGTATTGTATTGTATTGTATTGTATTGTATTGTATACTGACATCATTTCAAGTGGCCACCACAAGCCTAACGAAATGTGTAACCGTTTAAAAGCAGGGTGACTCATGATTTCCTACTGACCTATTTAGCGCAGAAAAAGTGAATCGCACTTGAATAAAAACAACGACCCTTTGACGTTATGATATGAGAGGCGTAACAATCATCACGGGCTTAGTAATTCAACAACGAAAAGACCTCTGTTGAAACAAGTACAATTTTAAACGGTATGTTTACCCCTTCATATTTTGAAATGATCCTGCTAAACCGAACCTCGAGTGACCGAGGCTGAACTGCGCTATTCTGTTTTGCTGATTGATTTGACTTTCATGCGAGGACAAATTAAGTGATTGTGTAAAACCGTTATTTTGCAATAACGCTGTTTTCTCTCTTTTCGTTAACAACCGTCCTCGTACGTCATTCCAAGTTCACCTACCACTGCATGGGGCAACATATATTACTCTTTACGTACTCTCTGGCCACAGGGCCCGCTAGTAGTCTGTTACATAATTCTTCTACCGCCTATACTTTAATTTTGTATACTATTTTAGGGGCCCTGATATCCGAGGGTAATACAAATGTATTGGTAAGCTTGCTTTAAATGTAAACAGCCCCACCCCTAGGAAATAGTGTGGAGAATATGGGTGTACATGTACATTTATCAGAAACCGTGGAATAATGTTTCTACACTTGCTTTTACAGCGGTTTACCCCACTGATCTCAGTATGTAGAAAGGAATCTGGACACACCCACATCATTTATAACTAGTCATGGTCAGGAGTGAATTAATGATACTCTCCAGTGGTGTAAGTTACACAAACATCCTTTTAAATTCCCCTCTGGCGGATTTTGGTGGATTTACACGTAGATAGCGCCAAGTTATGAAAACTCGAATGTTTTTGTGAACAGCTGTAATTGGGGGTCTGTTTAGTGTGAACTGTTATTTTTTTGGTGCTAATGTACAGACATTTGTACTTAACTGGCAGCTATCGGGTGCAGCCGTAATGAAAATGTGTTAAGTAGACTTAAATTTAAGGTGTTAAATTTGCTGCGCACCTACCGTGTCGTTTCGCACATTTTCCGACGCTGCAAAGGTGCAAATTAACAGTATTATCAACTCTCGACAACACGCCGAAGCCATGGCGTCTTGGTACGAACGTCCCTTGGGCTCTCCTTCTCTCTCCAACCCTTTCTCAGTTTTGTTGGTAAATGATTACACACAGCGCAAATGACAGCACCAATACGATGCTCTCGACACTCCTAATAACCGTGTTATAGTGCCGGATATTCTAAACTCCTGGTCCCTCTTATTCACTGAAGGATCGTCTTACTCATCTCTTTCTACGTCTCTGACCTACTTTGGCTGAAGTATGTAAACTTTTGGATCGAGTTAATCGTAAGTTGGGAGATTAAGATCCCATGGTCGAGGAAGTAACCTACTTTATAACGGATGCTTAGCCCCGGTGTACTTTAGCCAATGTGACCTTTTCAAATAGTTCAGTGGCGTTTTTATTATGCCCTGGGCGCTCTTGTTTCATGCAACCTTGCGCAGTTTTCGCGGGTCTTTTGTTCCAGTGTCAACAATGTGACTGCCGTAAACAACGTGAAGCAAGCCTTTTGGTTCTATTTCTAGACAACCTTTGTTTTGATACGGAAGCCATCGTGACCCCGGAAAAAATCTCCCGAGTCTCCTTATATATTATAGCATGAATCCATTGCAAAGTACGTTTATAATTTTTTCAGTAAATAGATGGTATTTCAACAGTCTTTTTTATCACAATATGTGTTCAGTGTTGATTTATACATTCACAAAAACATTAAAAAACAAACTTTTTTTATTTTTGTGAATTAGAAAACAAACCTGTATTCAATATGATGTTCGCAGTTTTATTTTCTTCACAATCTATACTGACAAATTTAATAATGTTTCACTACATAAATAGTCACAAATAACGATTTTTTTCTTTACTAAATCTGACACATCTCAAAACTTAATACTACCTGTAGATGTTCACACCTAACACATTTTTAAAACATTTATTCTAGTTGGGGGAAGATTCTGCATGTGGAGAACCATTCTGTTGGCATTGTAAATTTCTTACACGTGAATCGTGTAGATAGTCAGTACAACATGTACCCTGTAAAATGCTTTAAAATAAATCAGGTATGTAGTCCTGATTATTACTGTTCAAGCTGCGAGCATAAACATGTGAGCAGTCACTGATCACTTAGTACAGACAACACACGTGAGTTCTCTTCCAGATACATAGTTAGGACAGGGGAGAGTACCGCAGCCACTTTCCACGACATACCACAAGGCCCCATTCTGATCCCCTTCCCCTCCTTCGTTAACTTCGGGGGCCTCGTCCACACATACGTACTCGGACCTGTGGTTACCGTGATGGTCAGACATAATGTACCCATTGTACTCTTTGGTCCAGCCAACTGGACACGCTTTCATGGCGGGAATCATCACTGTGGTCGCGCGTGTGGGGACGTAACACAAAGCACAGACTGCGGTCTCCTGGTTCAGTCTTGCTGTTTCGGGAGTGTTTGTCTTCAGGAAGGGGTCATTGCTGTCCAACTGCATCTCAACGCCGTATATGTAGGAATGTGATTGAAAGCCATCATTGTGATTACCCCATACAGGGTGGTGTGGCAGGCAGAGATAGTTGCTACCACTGCCAGTGTGTTTATACCAGGACCCAGCAGGGATGCCTATAATGAAGAAATCCATGTCTATAAACTAAATATTCCAACTCTTAAAACATATTACCATTGATGAAATCATTGGGACAGATATACTTTAACTGTCACTCCTACTGAAGCTGCTAGAGGGTAATTTTAAATAAAATCAACGTTTAGCAGCTTCAGTAGGCGTGCCAGACATCTAAGCCGCTTAAGCCCCCTTTACACTGGACGGATTCCTTTTTGCGTCCTTTGTGAGATAGATGAAACTGGCATCACTGTGGTCGTAATAAGGAGGCACAATCATCAATTGCTTTGGTTGCAGAATGAATGCTTAATGATCGGCCAGTTTTCGGCACGTAAATTATTATTATTTTTTTACTCTCAAACGGGACCGTACTACAGGACGCAGAAAGGACGCCGTACAGTGTAAAGGGGGCTTTGAGCTGAAAGAAATTTATCGAAAAAAAACCTTGGAGATGGATCGATCTTGTTAGACCGATCTAGGTATGGGAACTCAGTCTAACATGCGGATTGCGCTAGGGCTGCCATCACTTCCTTGTTTCATGTACAAAAAAATCGTTATTATGGCCAAGCTTGTTCATAAACATGCGGTTCGCGATAGGGGGTAGGTTGGGATAGACCACACATATACATACAATGTGTGATCATACATGGTGTCATATCTATAGCTTAAGAATTTCAGCGTAAACACAATGTGACAAATTATTAGAATGGGATTCAATGTGTGAAAACCTGTAAAGGGACACCTACCCTAAAAATGAAAAGATTGCTGCAAATTTACTGCGAACTATACAGTTTACGGAAAACAGTCTCAAGAAGTTTGCAGGAGTATGCAGCAAAATTTGTTGATGCAAATTTGCTGCAAATTTGCAAGAACTTCATATCCTTTCAAATTGCAACAGACCCCATTTATATAGTAAAGCCCCGTTTTGGAAATTTGCAGCAACTGAAGAGCCCTGATATTTTGCAAAGGGTGATTAAGAATGTCAACTAATTGTTAACAAGCAAATTGATACAAATACTTGCCATTGTAGATGAGATGTGTTCCTTCTGGACAACTTGTTCTCCCCCATCTGATATAGGTGGTGCCACCTGCAATCCCTGTAAGGCAGACATATAGTTGTATCGTATTTCAAGCAATCGTCCTTAGTACAATCGGAATACTGATCACGTTTACCTCCCCCCCCCCCAAAAAAAAAAAAAAAAATAAATAAAAATAAAATAAATAAATGAATAAATAAATAAGGAATTAAATTTATGTTGAATTCAAATAAATGCAGTTTACAGATGTGTCAGCTAGTATAGTGGCGTGATTGTAATTGAGCCTGTGATTTCTGATTTGATTGGACTGGCATGGTGTCAGATGTGTCATTGTGTCAGATGTGTCATGGGTTGATTGACTCAATGTGTTGTACACAGCTAAATTAGATGGTCCCTAACCTGGCTGTTGTGATTGAGGCACCTGTTTTGTTACATTGGCTTGGCGTCTTTGTCTTATGTGCTCATGGGAATCAGACGTGTGCTTCATTTTGTCCTCTTTTTCTTTTCCGTGGAGCTGATCGGCTTCTTTCTGAAAAATAATTATCATTATTTTTTAAAGAAAAACAATATATATTTTGTTCAATACACATAAAGATAAATAAAAAAATCGGGCAATTAATTTTGTGTATTAAAAACAATATATATTTTGTTCGTGACTTCTTTCATATGCATATATTAAAATATCATCCAATATAGCAGTTTATAAGCTAGCCAATTCAAGATGTCAAGAAGGTAGGAGGAGACTTGAAAATTTAAACTCTCACTTTTTAGCTCCCCAACTATCCCAGAAAAGAAAACAGGACTCCGTAGGCCTAGTGTGTTGTCTCTCTCTTTGGTGGACAGTATGGGTTGGGGCGTACCTAAACATGTTTTCTTTCAGGTCCTCTGCCCCCGTCCCCTCCCCCTTCTCTACTCATCCTACACATAGTGCCTCACCTCAAGTTTTTTTTTTATTAAAAAGTTACAACGTGCGTTTTAAATCCAAACAAAAATAGCAAATTCATTCACTTTTTTTGTGTTTTGAAAAGATTGACTTATTGATGCGTTTTTCTGCCCAATTTGATAAATAAACAATTTTTTTTAAAGAATGTGTTTAATTTCACCGTACTTCTAGTCTATGCTCATGCTCGGGGAGAATTAACCCGTCTTTGGCACTGCTACCTTCCTCCTCTGTATCTTTCTCATCCGGTCTACAATCGATATCGCAAACCAAAAGAAAAATGCAAACAAAGAGAACGAAAGTACTTCTCTGCTTCATGGCAATGGTGGATGCTCTTTTTCAAAGCTGCAGAGGTTCTGTCAGAAGAGTCTGTGGGTGCGTGGAAATCGGCTTTCGTGAGTTGATGTGTAGGCACATGCAAGCACTATTTATTTGTTTAACCAGGAAGTGACACTTGATTAAAATCTTGCCATTTAATTCCCAAAAACAACTGTGTATCCTTTTCATAAGTACAGGCCAAGTTGTGAAAGTCAGAAAAATAAATTGAAAAGCATTTATTGACTACTATTTTTAGTTCTCAAATGAAATTTCCTGCAGTTGCTGCATTGTTTGGGGAATGAATCACACGTGTGACATTTCGTGGATAGTTTTAATGATGAATTGAAGTATGGGGTTCTTTTTTTTTAGGTACGTGATTCGTTTGTTGTATGGCAGAAAGAACTGTTCTTTTGGAGCTGAATGCACGCTTTACGGATATATTTTTTTAAAAAGGCAACATCTGCGAGTCAGAGTTCTTTCAAAATTACAGACATTTGCTATGTTGTAGAGCATTGCATTTGCAAGTAAACATCTTATTGCAAAAAACTTACCATGGCAGTATGTTGCATATACGTCCATGCAAAACTATACATACGTGCACTACATGTAGCACATATGGACAACAATTTAGAGTTTCTATTTTTTAGTTTGAGTCATGAAAAATGCTGACAAGGCTGTTAAACAAGGCTTTCAATGGTGGCCTCACAAAAAAGTGCCTTTCACAAAACAAAATATTTTGAATAACAAAAGGAATGTAAACCTAAGTGTTCTCAAACTTTGAACCAGGAAGACATCCTTCTACAAAATACATATATATATTGCAACATTCTTTGAGTGCGTGGCTCCCTTAGTTTCAATTTTTATGAAACCCTCCTTTCTGCATTTTAAAAACATTTACATGTAGCTATTGGAATCTTTATAATCCCAAGTCTATCGGTACATGATTATATGGTTATGATTGTAGATTTTTAAACTTAATCTCTCGTTTTTTTTTTCAAAGAGTAAGACCTAAGAGCCACGGTCTTTGAATATTTTTTTCGTGTTGCTGTTTTTTGTTATTGATGGAAGTCTGGCGTAGAGAATAACACAGTAAAGATTATCTCACCAACCGCACTTGAAAATCGAGGGTACACCGCCACATAACTATGTTCTGTTGCAATCACCACCAGAGATATTCGCCAGTCGCTGTCTTCATTGAGAGAGGGACTGAAAAATCTTGGAAGTTTTAACTCTGGACTTTCTGTGGATCATAATTCATTGTACGGTTTGGAATATGGTATACCCCAGTAATTGAGAAGAACATCTTGAAATGTCCAAGAAAATTCATTTAAGGCGTCCAATATAAATATCAAAAACGCATTGTTTGTCTTAAAGAATCTTCTGCCCACGCTTGACTCAACATCTTTTTGGAGGAGTTTTTGCCCCCACGTTATTCTGTTCGTTGTTCAAATTTTACCACAGTTTATTTTTCGAACTTCAAACTTCTTTTAATCTTTCTCTTACCGTCTCTTCAGTTTGTCCCGTGACATCTCCGATATGGTGCATTTTTCTGCGAGTCCAGAATCACCCCTCTCCTGTGAACTGTGCGTCTATCTCAGTCTAGGGCTCCCGTCCTCGTGTAGCAAAGCGTCCTTTCTGCGTCCTGTAGTACGTCCCAGTTTGAGAGAAAAAAAAAACTTAAAGGGATAATAACTCTTCGTATGATATCTATATTTCACATTAAAAACATTGTGAACAGCTCATAGAAATAAAATATATTCTGTTGTAAAAACGGCAGTTATAGCTATTATTCTGATATCTTAGCTTGTCTCCAGAGCACGCTACCTCCATTGATGGCTATACTCTGTTATAATCTCTTAAGAGATTTTAACAAAAAAACAAACTTTTTAGAAAAAAAAACAGGGACTAACTTTGAATGTAAAAATGGATTCATTAACCATTGGTAAGTATGGGAAAATTGTTTACTCCGGGAAAATTCATTTTTTGGCCAAAACGAAGAGTTATTATCCCTTTAACGTCCCGACAACTGTCCTATCATTGACCATTCATTCTTCAACCAAAGTTTGTGCCTCCTTTCTACGACCACAGTTTTGATCGCACTAAGGACGCAGAAAGGTAAGCGTCCAGTGTAAAGGGGGTTTAACGTTTGAACAGAAACGTTTATCGTATGACGCACAGCTAGTGTAAGTCAGTAAATTCAGTTCATGTTTAGGTTGTTCCTCGAAAATCCGTTTTTGTCGAAGCATTCTGTTGGCAAGCATTGTTGAATAAATTACGTTTGTGAGTGTATTATATTGTAAATTACAATAACAGTGCATCAGTAATTGGATTCATTGTTCGTATAATACAACTAAGTTTATGTCAAATTTTGATTTTATCACATTTGAATTTGTTGTTAAAATAACTGGATTCAGTGTGTAATCTATATAGAAAAGTTGTTTTTTTTTTCGTCATTCTTTTAACTTCGTTTTCTGTCGTCGATTCAGTTTTTGTTATACATGTAAGTATATATATATGCACCAAACTAAGTTTATATATATTTGGCATATATATAACATTTTTCTTTGTCTGGGAAATTTCAATTTTCACCTTTTTGTTGCCATGACAACGGCTTTGATACTCACACCCACCACCAGTTTAATGGCAAACTAGCAGAAAAATGGGAGCTAATAATCTGAGCTATCAGAAATAGATGGAGAATGACAATCGCTAAGTGTGTGTGTGTGTGTGGGAGGGGGGTGGAGAGGGAGAAGGGGGGCTACGGTGGCACATACCAGTACACATAAAAAATCATTGACATCAAATGCAAACAACGAAGCTCGATTTTTTATCAAAAATAAATGAGAAATAAGTCTAAAAGCTGTCATTTGATAAAATATGATACGAAGTTACAAAATAAGGGGATAATGACACGACATCAACTTCACACATGCATCCCCACACAACGGAGCAGAAAATTGGCGAAATAGAAAAACGATGCCAAAGGGCGTTCTACCTTTCACATTCCCTGGGGAAGTACATGTACCCTTTCCTCCCCTCCTCGTTACATTCCCTGGCATATTCTGTATCTCCCTATTACTTTTTCTAACACGAAAATGCAGTCGGCCACGCAGCTATTGTTCAAATGTATCCACTGCTTCTTTGCCGTGACCAAGCGCGCGTAAAATTCTGGTAATTTGATATAGCAAGACGTTTTCTAAACTTCGCGCGGTTGTTCGTTTTGCACGCAAGGTTTGACACTCGGGGTAAGAAAAGGCTAAAGCTTGCAAGTGCAGAAATCTCATTGGTTTGAGTATTGAAAACGCAAAGCACCTGGATGAATATGATAACACGAAAGACACTGTTAATCGAGTTCGACCATAATAGTACATGACCTGGGGGCATGGTATATCAGATTTTTTTAAAATGAACTATTGGGTATTCATTTGAAAAGTGGAAAAAAGAGGAAGCATTAATAAAATGAGTTAGAATATTGGAGTAGTACATGTATGAAACATTTTCAAAACAGCACAATCACATTTCACCTGCCGTTACGAATACATAAAAACAACGGGACTTAATCCATCAAAGTGCCACTTGTTTATGGCTTGATGTGTGTTTCTTTGTTATATCTTTCCCGACTAAAAGAAAGCGATGAAATGTCACCAATGCCCCTAAACACCCGTCCATAATGTCACATCGCATGACAAATATAGTGCCTATTCCCAACTGTTTTTTAGAACTGCTTCTAACAATATTGAACTGATTAATTATCATTTTACGCCTCACAACGGTCTCCACATTTCTCTCTCTTTTTGTGCGGAATTGTTTTTTGGTGGGAAGAAAAGGCTTTCGGGGTGCTTTATTCTTTAGTCTCTAGGTGGAAAACGCACCGAGCGCCACGTCCCATCTGCAAAGGTTCCGATCTTTTTCCCTGGTTTTGAAGTCTTTGTTCCGCCGTCTTCGCTCCGTTTATTTCTGCCCGATCTGTCGCCACGCTTCACGTGTTCTGCTTCGGATATCTCACGTACAGCCCGGACAATAAAACGGAATAATCTGTCATGCTTGTTTTCACAGATGAACAGATCGAATGAATGTATTTTAAGGCATTTTGCCATTTGACAACAGCAATTATTCAGTAAATTCAAAACAGTCTCAAGAGTCTCACAGGATCTAAGTGTTGGGGCTCACGGTAGAATCGGGTCATAAAATTCGATGGGGCGTAAATGCCGCTCGCTGGAGCGTGAATTCCACGAGTAAGTGCAACTGAATTGCGTGAAACAAGCCAACGTTAACTGCATTCGTGGCGGAAATTTGATAAATTGGAAATATAGCAACTTTTGTTTCAGCTTTTCTTCTAGAAATTGGAGCATACTTGAGAGACCTGGATTCATCTGAAACAAATTGATAAAATTGATTTTCTCCGTGTTCCTTTTTTATTGTCTTCCCCGATGCACATTTCCACGTATTTCTGTTCACTTGCAGTACACGGGTATATCTTAGGAAATCGATGTAAACCGCATGATCACTCAGCGAATAAGGGACACCAGGAGTGCGGTCATTATAGCGAAGTCCAACGTGCGTTCAGTTGCTAGCCAACACATGGAATGGGATGACCCCGGTGAAAAAAAAGGATACACAATGCCCTACTGCTTTGCAACGATGACAAACACAAAAGTTAACAATCCACTCAGAGCTCTTGAACTACAAGAAATTGCCGTGCTGTGTGGGTTGTCATGATGCACAAGTGACACGCACGGCATCGAGTTCCTCTCTTCTTCCGCAGCGTATGCGGCTCCTGCAGCCATGCCGCCTGAACAAGTGGGTGCATCCGTGATGATCAGATCGTCTGCAGAAGGACTCCAAAACAGTCGAGAGGATATATAGATTAAACTCCCCATGCAATCTGCGCCACCGCTTCGAGTGTAAAAATTTCATCTTACATTGATATATAACAATTGCAAGTTAGTCGTGTTTGGAAAAACCTGGGAGCATGTGTTTCATTGAGAAGATAACAAGTGCTTGTAGGAAGAAATCATTTTAAAATTGCAAACTTTCCCTGCAATTAGAAAATTAGGTTTTACTCTCTCTCTCTCTCTCTCTCTCTCTCCATATAATCGGCAACATCTTTAGCAAGATCAGCCTTATTCAAATATGCTGTTCTTTCATACTTCATTACCAAGGTAGAAAAAAGAATTCAAATTATTTCTTCTAAAAGTAGCTTGCTGAAATGACACCCTTACCGCGATGATATTTCAAAAAACTAATTAGCAAATTCATCTAAAGAGTGCTGCTACATATACTGGATATTAAGTGCACATTAGAGTGAACGGATTATTCTGTGTCAACGGTTTGTTGGAGCACATTGTTAACAAAGCTAAACAATTGATCACCTAAATGAACTAGTAAAATGCGCATTTTGATAAGTCGGCTGTCGGATGATGTTTTGGGATCCGCTCTTTTTGCAGAATGGTTCGTCCCCAGGGATGGATCATGTAACTGACAATTCCAGGCAGAAGCTCTGGAAAACAGTCGTCTTAATCACCTTGTCATGAATATTTCAAAAAGAGATACCCAAGTGATCAGCCATTGTCGTTCAAAACTCGGCATTTTGTTGCATTTTGCACATTGGTTGGACGGCTGATCTATGGTCTCGAGGCAAGCAAATGAAAAGAGGAAAATGGACATTGTCCTCGGAACCAAATAAATTAAATCTTCGCCATCAGTCTTGGCGGTTTAGAGAGTTGACATATAAATTAACAAGGGAAATAGGTGAGAAAGCTATTCCTGCCACGCGAACTTGTATCTATTTGTCAACATAGAAGCCATGCCAGATTTGGTATCGGCGGAAATCATGTAAAAACTAATGGGAAGATTATTATTATTATTATTATTATTATTATTATTATTATTAGCTTTTTTCATTCAAATTGCGTTCTCAATTTTATTTACATTGCATATTTGTTGCGTCGTGGTAAACACCGCTGAAAAGGACGGTAACTATAAAAAAGAAACCAGGAAATTAGCTACAATTACGGGGAAACGTATTTTATCTTATTTTAATCTTTGTTAAATATTTCATCTGAGCAAGTGAAATAATTCAACAAAAACAGATCAATGTGAGTGATAATTCAAGGTTGATTAGCGAAGACTCCTCATGCCTTCCCCCCAGTACTGTATAAACAAGCTTTTGGGGCGCACCCATACCCCTTTCCCGCACGCACGCAAACACACTCACACACACACACACACACGCACGCACACACACACACAAGCAAAACTTACATGATCTAACCGACCGTTATTAAACACGAACAAAATTGAAAACATTTTTGCAAGATTAAAAATGTTTTTGAGCATGTACCATGATCAATTTACGACGACGGAAAATCCATAAAAGAGCGACAGAAGCCTCTGGGATGTCTCGATTAATTGGTTCGCTTACCCTTTTACTGCGAAATTAGGAAAATAGCAATATGGAGATTCACAATGTTTTTGCGACGTGTCTTCCATCTTCTTCGGAAAGCATAGTAGACACATTGGCATTAGAAAGTTACAGAGGGGGGGGGGGCAGTGAGAAAAAATATGGCATAAAGGTCAGCGATGACCCACTTGAATCCGATCTCCGGTATCAGATATTCCGGTTGCCTTTTGTGGTAATTGTCTTAGCAGTGTTGGCCGTTTCAATACACCCGGGACTCCAAGGGTAATTTCACAAAAGATCTCAAGCCAGAAGTCAGCCTCAGCTTAAAGATTTTAATGTTAAAAAACATTTGGTCTGCCGCAATCCAAAGAAAATTCTGTATAATGGCAGTCAACTTAAGGCAAGTAGATACCAGTCTGATTTTGAACCCATTAATCCTAGGTGTAATACCATAGCCAATTTCTTTTATTTTGCACAACAGGTCAATCATCTCATCACTTACGTGGACTACTTTTAGATTTTTTTGTGTGGTCTCTAAACAGACTAAAGTTTGCTTTTATGTTACTACTATACGCGATGGCTCAGTTCAAAGAGAGAGAGATCTTAGAGGTCTCACAAGATGAAGATTTCAAGTCCTTGCGAACGTTTTTCTGGCTCATGTAGGCCTACATCATATGAACTGTCACTTTCAAGTTTATAAGCACTTACAAGTACTCGTATACCCTTTGACTTTGCAGGACAGAGCTTCGAGTCTACGGATGTACGCGTTATCAGCAATTAGCACACTGGCAGTTCTTGCTTCTCAGTGGCTTAATAATTTGTCGCTTCTTTCGCGGTGTATAATCTGTGATTCCGTTGATGGTTAGACTCAATTTCCCGTAGGTTTCGAGAAACTCAGCCAAGTCCACTCGTACTCTGCCGATTTCGCTTTACTTTCGTTACTTATGTGATGAAATACACATGTACCACTGATCGCAATTTATGTAAAAGAAGACTCAAGGACTTTTGAAGGACTGTGTCACTGTGTGATGGAAAGTGACGCCAGTTTTTCACGCGCAGAAACTTATAGATGACTCCTAGCACTTTGGTGACAACTGTCGATGTGCCACCTGGGCTGTATGAACGACAGGGGATAAATTTGATTTTGGACAAACAGTAAGCATTCTTTCAAAGCAATTTTATTTGTTTCAGGTGTTCAGAATGTATTACGTGTAGCTTTTCCGAACACCAGAAATATAAAGACGGTTGAGAAAAAAATGATAGTAAAAACTAAGACAAGCACGAAGATAATAAAAAAAGCCCAACAAAAAGAAACTAAAATGCGGGAGAAAAAAACAATCCCATGACAGTAAATGCGTGCCATCGTCTCTAGGTCTCTTTCCCTTTTCACAAATCTTCTATTTCCACAAAAGACTAAAATGTCACTGGAAACCTGGTTCTCCTCTTTCAGCATGTCTTTGCCGTTTGACAAAGGCATGTTGAGCGTAAAGAGGTGAGTTTCCGATAACCTAACGAAACACGGTGTACATGACCACCTTGACTTCCCTTAAACCCTAGCAAATATTGTTGCATTCTCGGTAAACATGCCAGTTCGGTGAAGTTATTGTCACGCCTGAAATAGAGAAGTCTATGCGGTTAAACTCTAGAGAGAGTTACAGCTGATCTAGCAAGAGCCGCGCTTACAAAGGTGACAAAAGCAAAGTTCTTCACGGGTGAAAAAATCAATGATTTAAACGCCTTGAAAGGGATCACATCCGATGTTGCCACTTCTACTTTAACCGCAGCACGCTAGTATTTTTATCCAGACCCACACAGTTTCGTCGCGAACACGTTGCGCACAACGGGTATTCCTTTCCTTTGGTGACGGGCGCGAGCGACAATTAGAGTACAATACAAAACAAAAATGAACGCTATTACTATACTGTACATGGCAGCGGAGCAGCCATGACATTTTGATTAGGACAATTAGTGTGAAGTTCTAGGCGGCGTAATTACTATTAATCGATAGGGCAATCAAGGCTATCACCGTCATATTCTCCTTATGGTTGGACCTCTTTGGTCGGTCTGCACGCGAATCCAACGTAACCCGGTCGCCAAAACCAGAGAGGCAGCGTGACACGCACACTGGGACGAGCCGCCTGACAGTTGGTGACGCGCTGATATCAAAATCCTTTCAACCAAGATTGCAATTCTTCATATGTAAACGTTTGTGGATTTGCTAAATAAATCCAAAGAGAGCAGCATTGTTTACATCGGTGCCATATTTTGCCCATAGCATCACACGTATAGGGGTCAACCCTAGAACAGAGGATCTCGACGGAAAGTTATTTGTGGCACTATTTTATTCAGTAATTTTTTTTTACTTGCAATTCATTTTCTAAAAACTATTGTATTCGATGTTGCCTTATCATTATACCTGAATACCGAATAATCTCATGCTGTATCCAGAAAACATGCGTTTTTTAAATAAATAAATAAATAAAATGTCAAAATTTGTGATTAAATTCAGCGGTACGTGCTCAAATCATGGCAATCAAAATAAAAGATCATGCCCGTTTTATTTCATTTTTTAATACTTTACGAAGTAATCAGTTGGATATTAATTTCTCTCGAAATGGATCTCGAATGGATGAGCATTTTAAAAAATCTTAGCGACAAACTGGCGCTACATGTACAACGCCTCTGCTTTTGATCACCCAGGTACTACAGACTAATTGGTTTCGCAGAAATAACCCTTGAGTCTGCTACTGCACATTTGCTTTTTTTAAGACAATTTCCCCGCCATTGCGTGTGTTGTGTCTACGCTTCGTATCATTCTTACGAATTACGAAACGAAAACCACAAAAGGTTATGTATATGACTGGCATCGCTCGATCTTTGTAACCTTAGAATCATCTTTGCTTTTTCCGATATGTCAGAAAGTCAGAACGGTTTAGATTCGTTTACACCGCCGATAAAATTGCACTGTCGTTGATTTCTTATGGCAAAAGCATCTTTTATAGATAGATGAGTCATTTTTTATCTGTTTATTTCTTTCCAGCACCTTTAATGTTTATACCCTTCTACGAAAAAAGTATTTGAAAAATAAATACGAAGTGTTTTTAGTAGAAGCTGTTATCTGAGGTAGGAGTTAATGTGTTCCCTTCTTACTGCCTTTTTAATTCGTAATTTGTCTTTGCCACAGGGAATTGTGAATAAAAATACTCTGTAGATTTTCCAGATTGTGAGTGAGTACCGTCAACTGCTTGCTTCCAATATTGATATCGATATATGCCTTATAAAAACCCTCTTGTCCATGTGGTATAGCACAGAGAGAGAGAGAGAGAGAGAGAGAGAGATGGAGAGAGAGAGAGAGATCATCAGGTAGATCATGACAATCTACGGTAAAGTTTATTTGGAATAAATTTATTTATGAAGTGTCCACGTAAAATTCAATAGCTATATAAATTCCTATTTTCATGGGCATAGGTCAAAGTTTGAGAAAATCAGTTCCAAAATAACAACAGGAAACCTACTGAATAAGGAGAATTATTTTTATGTCACCACATGTTACAGTGAAATAGTGCTAATACTAAGTCAATGCTGAGCAATATTCAGTATCAAATAAGCATAAAAGCAGAGTACGAAATGGCAAAAAAGAACTACAACGATTACAAAGCTGTGCATATAAAATACATGTGTACGGAATTGATAGGAATACTCCTTTTTTTGAAAAATCGACGGAGAAAAAATTATGCAGTTTTGCATTTTTTTAAAACATGCCTCAGTGCTTTGGCATTTTCATCTTAAACACATATTATGCGATATTTGTCATAAAATTTTTTGATATATATAATGTAGAAAATATATAATTCTAGTAAAATAAAAGCCGTGAACTCGACTTGGTCTGTGACTTAAATTGGCGTTTTTCTATATCTCTTCTTATTATTACATATTTAGTTTGCTTCTGTAAAAATCTACAGACGAGTCATAAATGTCATCAATAAATTCAACTCAAATAATATTATGCCTAGAGTCTGTTTTGATATTTGCGACTAAATAAAGTCTGAAATTGAAACATTGCTGCGTACGTAGCCGAAGCATAGCTGTCTATCGGATCGGTCCCGTTTTGGCTGCATGTAAAACTTGGAGCGGTTGAAGCAAGAGCCGGGGCGGGGCACTCTCGATCGTGCAGTTTCCTCATGTGTTTCTTCAAGTCAAAGTTCCTACAAAACCCTTTCCCGCAAAGCTGACACGTGAAAGGCTTTTTATCATTATGCGTATGCATGTGGAAAGTCAGATTGTAAATCTGGTGAAATGCTTTATTACACACCGTACACTTGTACTGTTTCTCCGCGCTGTGCGTTAAACGGTGGTTTTTGTAGTTCCCTTTCTGATGGAACCCCTTCCCGCAAACTTCACACATAAATGGCTTGTAGCCCGTGTGTATGCGCATGTGGGTGTTTAGAGTCGAACTCCGATTGAAGGCCTTACCGCAAGACTGACACTTGTGGGGTTTGTCCGTCGTGTGAATAATCTTGTGTCGACACAGGGTACTTGCTTGGCGGAACCCCTTCCCGCAGATCTTACAGACGAAGGGGCGCGCCCCTGTATGGACGGGCATGTGGCGCGTTAAATTGTAGTGGGCGTTGAAAACCTTCCCGCACTCCGGACAGGTAAAAGTTTTGCCGGACTTAACACCGGGCACCGCGGTCGTGGTGACGGTGGGGAGACCAGGTTTGTTGTTCGCAGCCCCTTCGCTGTCCAGTGTAATAGACTGCGGTTTTGTGGGTTTGTGCCCGGCGACGGACTCTTCCGGCGTTGGCGTTTTGGTCGCTGTCGGGTCCAAGGCGGGTATTCCTCCGCTGTTCTTTTCCGTATCAGCCTGCGTCTTACCGTTAGCCTCATTGACTTTGGGCTCAAAAGGCCTGTTGATTATTTCACACGGCTTGTGCTTTTTCGTCTTCGGGGTGAAATGAAATGGGGATTCGCTGGGAGAGAAGGGGTATACGGTCTTGGAAAATTTCGTGGCTTGATACGCGTTCTCGGCGTTGTGGTGGGTGGGGGTAAAAGCAGGATGTAGTAACTGCCAATGCATGCTAGCGTACATGCTAGTGTGGTGTCTCCAGTAGGCTGCCCAGGGGTGGCAAGGGGAGACCCCGGGGTGTGCCCCCCAGAGACTGGCCATAGACAACCCCTTCAACGGCCCAGCTGTCCCTCCATTATAGCCAAATGGCGGTGGGTGACGCGAAGTTATACTTGGGTTGCCGTCTTTCTTGTCCGCGGAAGGCTCGGGATCGCTGTGTTTGGACTTGATGGGAGCACCTTCCATTATTCTTGCTATGGAGAAACTCAGATTTCGAGAGCCCGTGTTTTCCGTTGCTTTTCTTTTGGTCGTCTGCTGCTCGATCCGCTTTTCCGCTTGCGAGTCCCCCTTTTGCTGGGTTACCGGAAACCATGACTGAAGTCATTAGTACCTGAGGAAACAAATGTTAATTTTACTTTTGTTGTTATACACACATTTCATATTGTTCTCCTGAAAAGTATCCCTTTTAAATGTCAATCCCGCATCTGTTAAGTCCTATCAGTTAATCAACATACTAGGTGAGAAATAATACTATTTAAAAGTAAACACAATTTGATGAAAAGGTGTGAATATATGTTAAATGTTAAAGAATATCATTCTTTAATTTTTTTGTTTCAGTTTGTTGTTGTTGTTCTTTTATTTACTTGACAAATTGTCATTGATATATTCATTTTAAATTTTTTCTATTTTTGTTGCGTGAAATTGTCTTCTTCAATAAGATATGAAAAAATACCATTTTGTCAAATGAAATACAACAAAATTTTTAAAAACATCTGTCCAATTTTCTTCAAGAATATACAAAGTTTTTTTGTGCAAATGTTTAACTAAACTGCCTCGATTTAAAATAAATCTTTGTCTTTTGATAATAAACTAGATTTTTTAAATATTGGATTTAGAATAAACAATTCTTCTATTGATACATTTACCTCCACTGTTTAAACCTATCGATACTTCCTCAATTTTTTATTTTAATAAATCTACCTAAATTTATCGATATATTTCACCTGTCCTTTTTAACTCGAAAGATAATCCTTAAATATTTGATTTCAACATATATGTATGTATATATATATTATAAAAGGCTAACAGATCCTAAGTTCAAAAACTAACGGTCATCAGACCAATCCTCTTCTGTCGCTCTAATTCTGCTTTTTCAAAAAACATACAAAAAAAATCATTGGTTGAGAAACAAATTCATTAGAAAAGACTAAAATTAATTTTAAAAAATTATGTGTATTTAAACAATTCAGGTCTTTTTAGAACCCTACAAAAGAGAAACAAATTATTAACCCTTATTAATGACGGAATTTAACTCACCTGTTAGTTGAACTCCTACTACAAAATCTGTGCTGTATCAGTATTCAAAACGAAATCGACCACAAATTATCCGATTACTGTAAATCGGCGTTTAAAATGCGTGGAAGAAGACGGCACTTTTTCTTCCCGGACACGACAAATCTTGTGATTATGGAATACGGTTTCTACCTGTGCCTTTTATAAGCTGTCAAAGCTTCTCACCTGAGTTTCCGTTCTTTGACAGTTGAGGGGCGGGGCTAACGTCAAGAGTTGTCAACGGCAGCCAATTACAGAGCGCGTTACGGAGAAAGCTGGCTATTCACTAGCCGCAATGAAACCCAAATCGATCAACACACTAATTATTATGAGACTGAGTTATTGTGCGTTTACAGTACAGTAACAGCCTCGAAGTTCCAGTATGAGTGTTTGGTTTTTTACCTGCCCGGTATATTTTTCAAGTTCATAGGCGCGTTGCATCTTATCATCGTTGATCTAGTATTACTGGTACCTTCGTTTTCGTCTCAGATGAACGTTTACTGTTTGTTTAACTTACATCTGTTATTTGCATGTTTCATCTCTACCTAATTCATTATTGGCTATTGCTCATTGTATGCAGTATCCCATGTCCAGGAGGCAAAATCTCCTTTTTTCGGCGCTTATTTTCACTGTGGGTGTACAGTTTGCTGAAGGAGTAAAATATTATCACTGCATTTCACATGAGTTTTTGTAGAGTGCAATTTTTTATTTTATTTTAATGTTTATTCATTTTTATTAGTTCTAAAAAAAACCCATATGTTGGTGTAAGGTGCTACTAATTTAGTTTTAAATCATGCGTCTACAAGTCATTCCAAATGTGTCCCTGGGATAGTTTTATTAGGGAACTGATTAAATATTATCTCCGATCGAACTTGAAATTTGAGCAAGTGTCACCAAAAACTTGCCTAAAAATACCATTTTCAAAGCACGTCTTCTTTTTAGAGGGATAAAAGCGCCCCTGTTTTTTCCCTGTCGCGTACTTTGCGACCTGAATACACTCCTCTCCACGGCGTCCCAACACCGGGACCTATTAATAAAACACGGGATTGCGAACGGGGTAAGACTCTTTAAATGCCACGGCGGGACGTCAATTTTTAAAATCAGTAAAAAATCAAGTTGGTGCGAAAGTGCATTGTCCACCAACAAATGACTGCACAGCCAGTGTGAGTTTAACGAGAGATGAAATAGGATCTTACCAACGAGAATACACGGTGCGTTACCCGCCCCTTTTTCCTTAACATAAAGTGACGCTGCTAACCTACGACATCTTTTATGGCATCAATTGAATAAAGTTGCGCGTTCGTATACACCCCTTGTTGCGGACCTCCACAGAAAAGTACGGGTGCGTTTATCTTGTGTCTTTATGGGACACCAATTTTGTCGTTTCTCAACAAATGTCTTTAAGTAGGATTTTCCGAATAACTGATTTCATAGGACGGCCGTGTTAGGTATATAGTGAACCTGGGGGCAGAAGCACAGCTGAATGCCTTTTATTGTAATCTTTTTTCTCTTCAGTGTTGGATGTCAAGCGCATTAGCTATGTGAAAATTGACGGAAAATGATAGGCTTGCCATAATTGCTGTTCAAGAAACTTGATCTCGCGACGGGCGGTGCTCTTCTGTGTGCAAAGTCTGAAAAGTTGTTAAGTTGATAACGTGCACGGCGCAGGGCATAAACTGTCGTAAACTTGATGCGGTGATCCTGCAAACTGCGCTCACGATAAAAAGGGGAAAAAAAAGAAAACAGAGGGTTTTATCCTCAACTAAAAATTATGTTTTTCTGTGCTTCTTAAAAACTACAGCATTCTGGGTTTATTGATTGCCTAAAACCGCTTTTGTTTAAAAAATAATATAATGCCACAATGAATTCACTTTTTGTAAATACAATGAGCATTTATAAACTGGAGAGGAAATTAAATCAGTGATAGCCTACATAGATAGCCTTTCTTCAAATTGGCTGAACGCGTAGACCGTGTCTCATTACCAGCTCATTACGTTCTATTAGTGCCGCCCTATTCAACACCCCTCCTTTTGTTTCCGTCGCGAATCATCCAAGTACAACACCGGCACGCGCACAAAGCGTAATTAAAACCCTCCTGGCCGTAATTAATTGAGACGCACTCGGGACAACGTCCCAAGATGTGTGCGCCCCATTTCTGATTCTTTTTGATTTCCTTTTTTCTGACCCAGATGGAACTCTATTTTCTGTGAAATGCACTTCCACTTCGACGCTCGCTCGAGTAAGCACGAGTAAGCTTAGATATCTATTAATGACAGGCGAGTTTGCTTAGATATTGAGTTTCGAGCGCTCTTTGTATCGCCATTCTCAAAGAACCGTGAAAAATATTTGCTTATTACTTTTCATTAAGGCGTACTGCTTTCTTAGCAGAAACTGGCACAAAAAGCTCTGACAATTCTCCGTCCGAAACAACAAGAATCAATGGAGGTCTTTATACCCACGCAATGTTGTATTCTTTTCAAAAATACTAACAAGAGTTATGAAAAATTCATGTCCTTGTTTGAATGAAAATTAATCCTTCCTTTTGGTATTTTAATATAATTGGTTGAATTAGATTACTTCCGTTAGTCTTAAGAAAATAAAACATATAAACATTGAGATTGTGACGCTTAATGACACAAGCACTAGCACCAAGACAAACTCTTTATTCAATGTGACTTTGTTCCGCTTTCTGTAAAAGTAAAAAAAAAATGAATAAATAAACAGTTCACTGAAGATCGACAAAGGTTGTCACTGATATTGAAAAACAAAGCCTTTAAATGGGATAAATTTTTGGCGGTAAGAATTGATACAATGTAAAACAAAGGACATTGGTCTGAATGAGAATTTAGAATAAACTATTTATGCTCTATCCTACAATTTTAAGATATTTCCTATTTTTCAACAAATATGCTCTCCGTAACATGTACGAAATGATTTACTTACTGATTAAAGAGAGTTATCTGTACATGAATTATATGTGTGCGGACACAGACTCAAACGGTTTGGGCCTAGATGACACCAGCAAAAGTTCAAAACAAGTTTATTTAGAATTTAAAAAAAACAGATTTAGGACTATTATCAGCAAGAGGAACTTGATAATAACTATGGTATAACACTGGACCATTGAGAAGTACTCACTGGGGGTAGAACGCTGTATTACTCGTTAATTAACTCTGTCGTCATCCAGATTTCACCAGTTTAAGTCTAGTAGATCTTGCGTCTTAGTATCTCTGTACTAAGTAGCTTTGTACTGGTACAGGCGGTGTTAATTGAAAACTGTCGATGTCTTCCTTGTTTTTCTCTTGGTAACCTACTATTTATATCACTATTATGTACATGTTGCACTATTCTAAGTTAACTGCACTTTATAAAGCTGATGAGATGCCAATTTGACATGATAATATGTCTGAGTATTAAATTGAAAAATACATAAGAAGAGGTGTCTTCAAAAACAGAAATATCGTATCAGCATTTTCTTTCATACTTATTTTACTCTCTTAGCTCCCAAAAATTAGATTAACGATAGAATAACCAAATAAAGTGAAGTTAAAAATTGCACACCCATATGTTAGTAGAAGAAGCGTACTGGACTTTACACAAAACTTGTACATGATGTTGAGATGTAATCATCTTCTTAACACCATACATTAAAGATGATATACTTGGATTACCGTATATGATAGCCTAAACTGGCCGATGGGTTTGCCGCATAGGTGTGTTATAGAATACACCATGTCACATGATTTTTCCTCTTGTTTAATGATAAAAGACAGAAACAGGCTTAGCTTGAGCTGAATTTAATTACATGACCCTGATAAAAAATGTACGTATATGCTATACAGAAAAAGCATTTGTCATTTTTTGGACCAAGCGCGCAGTTTTTTTTTTTTCTCAGCTGTGGAGCTTTGTTGTTAAAATGCCAAAGCAAATAACCTAACTGATTTCGATATAATATCTCTTTTTATCATCCTTTTTCTATTTTCTTCTCTTTTTTTCCTTTCTTTCCCTTTTACTCGAGAAAGAAAGAAAGAAAGAAAGAAAGAAAGAAAGAAAGAAAGAAAAATATGCTCGTTATCTCTGGACATCTAATTATCTTTTCGATTTCCCCGTAAGTGGGTATCTTCCATGGCGTTGTTGCACCTGCGTGTTGGGCCTTACGCAACGTGAAGATGCTATGATCCCCTTAACTTCACATGACCCGCTGTTGGGTCCCAAATCACTCGAGCTCAAGTGCTCGCACACATCCCTTTTAGCAAGGAGATAACAACAAAAGTATGTATTTCACTTGGTCACAGTGTGTGCGTGTTAACGATCTTGTATCATGCCTCCTGCGTTTGAAAATCGTGAAAAACTGCAGCTGTTTGAATTGTTCGCGCGAGAGTTTTCTCGCCATTGCTGTTAATGCCCTTTAGAGAAATAAATGACACCTTGTGTGTTAGAGAAATAACTGACACCTTGGGTGTGTGTCCCTTTCCTGACAGTTGACCATTGCTTCTTAATGGTCAGCCGTGCCGACGGTCGAAAGTGTGAGAATTAATGGAAATTAGTTGGGTGTCTAAGACCGACTGTTCTTCTTCAATTTTTCAAAAGGCTCCTGCAAAATTAAAAGACCTTCTTCTAGTTGTAACATTTGAACTAATCTATTAAAATGTATTTATTAATATAGATATAGTAATAGTGAGAATGTAAACCATGCAGCTCACTCTGACTGGTTTACTGAGTCACCTATTATAGTTCAAAGATCATAACATTTGTTTGTTTCTGGGTGTATTTGATTCAAGGCACTTTTTCTGTCATAAACAGACAGACCAAACGCCATAGTGATTCTACATACACTTCAAATTATTGCCATTTCGAATTTCTAGCCGATTAGAGCATAAAGGTATATCAGATATCGCTGCAATTCCTATTTTTATGTTTTATTGTTGTTGTTTCCGTTGTTAACTGCACAGCAACAAGCTGAAATGTCACATTATTCTGCTGTAACTGCCCACCTGAGATCTCAAGTGATATGCGTACCTGTGGCATGGCGTTTAGATTACTAATATGAAGTGTGCGTGCGTGTGTGTGTTAATTTGTATGTGTGTGTGTTAGTGCGTGTGTTAGTGTGTGTGTG